ATACAACCGAGTTTTGGAAGCCAGACCGCGTCGCGTCTAAACCATGCCACCCGACTTGGCTTACCCAGAGACCCTTTGATGTTACTGGGTTCTTAAATGAAAAGGTTTCATAAGGGGCTTATACCGGGTGTTTTATAGCGGTGTCGGATGATACAGCCCAAGGTTTTTCAGTATGCTTCACAGCGCGGTCCGCAAACGCATAATCCTCAGCCGCAGTCCATAAACGAACCGGAAACCTGTGAAACTAAATGGATAGTTTGCTTAGCTGTTTTCTGTTCTTTGTCCTAATTACATGCGTTTAGTTTCTTCTACGCACCTGGTCCTTCACTACTTGTTGTTAGCTTACACGCCGTGGGGAGTAGAGCAAATCCTGACATCTCTATAGTTTTCTTAGGAGCCATTTAATTTTTTTTATTTCTGGTCATATAAACCCCAAGAAATATTAGCAATAGCAATACTATTATTTAATATGGTTCTACGGGGGATATAGCTCTTGCATGGGGGTTCGCCCAGGAACGTGAAGAGCCTCGGCTGCAAAGGTGAAGGGTTCAGGGCCCTGTTTAGGGTTTGTAGGGTTTAAGTTTAGTGTTTAGGCTTTAAGTTCAGGGTTTCGGGTTTAGTTGTTAGGGTCTAGGGTTTAGGGTTTAAGTTTAGGGTTTAGGCTTCAAGTTTATGGGTCTTGGCCCGAGACATGCGGTTTAGGGTTTAGGGTTTAGGGTTTAGGGTTTAGGTTGGGGCGGTGGCGCGGTCATACGAAAATCCTCGGAGCCGAGCGCAGCTATTGAAGGTTGTATACGAGGAGTTCTGCAAGGGGTTCTACAAAGGAGTTTAGTTCCTTAAAAGGGGTTCTACTTCAAAACTGTATACCGGGTTACATGAAGGCGGATCTTTAGCGGTTCTACTGGGAATGATCGGGATAGCGCTTTGGCGCAGGTGCGGTGCGTGGCTTTTAATGTTAGGTGTGTGGGTGGGCGTCCAGGGTAAGGCCTGCTTTGCCACTTTTGGTGTTCAGGGTTCACGACAGGGTTTAGGGTTTAGGGTTTAGGGTTTAGGGTTTAGGGTTTAGGGTTTGCAGGTGTAGTCCTGGCAGAAGCTGGAGCTATGATACGTTGCAACCGGGGGCTCCACACAGTGCCTGACATGGTGCCAGCACTGGCCAGACATGTGCAAATGGGGGCCGGATCACAGGCTGAGGTCACCGCATACAAGGAGTGGTGTAACCGTCATCAACACAAAGTCCCACCAGTACTGGAGACAGGGCTGCATGCAGTGCATGCTTGTGCGATGGTTCACAGCACTCGAATGGACGGAAACCTCGAGGACAGTTTGAAGGCAGCTGGGGCTGCGGTGGCAGCATGGTCCAACATCCCGCAATTAAGGAATATACCTTAATTCATATTAAGGATGCTATTATAGTTTAAAGTATATTCCTAAAATACAGGATATTGGAGTCTCTGGCGTCCGGGGGCAACTATGCAAGAATGCTGCTTTACAAGTAGTTCTAGCCACAGTACTCGTGGTACTATAGTACGCAGCAAGAACAACCACAGCAGCACAACAAATTCACGACAATTACGACGGCGACGGCTGCGAAGACGATGCAGCTGAAGGGCAGTATCCATGGCGATGCATGGTGGCACGACCGAAACAGCCACATGTCCACTTAGCACTAAGCAGAAAAGCTACTACGAATAGAATCCAAACTACCAACACGATACAACATATAATATAGTAGCACTTCCATACTAGGTATGCTGGGTTCTGGATTACAATGCTTGAATACTTGTTTTTGGTACCTGTTCCTTTAAGGAGCCATCATGAAATAAAGTCGATACTTGTTTCTCCCTGGTTACTTCAAAGTCCAGTATGTGTCCCCGAAGTAGGGACTTAGGACCCTCTGGGGCATGTTGAGAACTGTCTCGCAGTGGAGTCTGGTACAGGTTCGCCAAGTACAACCATGATGACAAGGCAGGGTGGTCCTCTATGTGTCCTTTTTTTTTGGCTTGCAGGCTTTTGTGGGTCTTAGGTTCCGTACAAAACTACCCCAGAAAGGGAGCCCTCTCCCTAAGGGTCCATGTATCATGTGAGTATACATTGACCCTAGAGTACCTTTTAGGGACGACTTTACAGCATGGACCCTCAGGGTTTGTGTTCCTCGGTTATTGAGGATCCTATTTGTATTGACGGACAGCCTGCATGATTTGGTCTAATCACCCGACTCGCAAGGGTCCATGTGCCCATGTATATGTACGTTGCTCTTGAAATCCTACAGTGTCTGTATACTTGGATGGTCGGGGGATTTAGTAAGTAGGTAATAAGTAGACTTATAAGTACCCTAAAAGGGATCCTAATTGGGGTTATGGTACTTATAAGTCTCCAAAATAACTAGTTACTAAGTCCCCCGACCCTCCAAGTAAGCAACACGTTTTAAGCCAATGTATGCGACAGTTTCTGAGCAGATGGACCCAGTCTGCAAGCTCTTGGAGTCCTGGAATCTTCCATGTTATCCCATAGTATCCTAAGCGTCAAAAGAGCGCAATGACAGCGGGCAAGCTTCTTGCTCATGATTCGTCTGTGTATCTGCTTAGAAGTTACTTGGCGCCGTTTCGGTTCGGATTTCGGGCAATTCAGCATTTAGGGTTGAGCCTAAACCCTAAACCCTCTTGGGGTTTGCAGAGTCTCTGCAAGAGCCGGGTTGAGCTTGCGGCTTCCCAAAGACTCCAATATCCCTTGATTGAGGAATATACCGTTTAGGGTTTAGGGTTAATATACCGTATATTCCTCAATCAAGTAATCTTTTCTAGAAAACCCACATATTGTTGAAGGTATACTCATTAATTACGGGATATTGGAGTCTCTGGGTTTGCGGTTCCGCTGGAGACGCCCGGTGCCCGATCCGGCGAAGCTTGTTTGCGCTTAGGGCTTTAGGGCTTTATGGTTTGAGGGTTTAGGGTTTAGGGAACTCCAGAAAGTTGGAATATATGGTTTCATGGTAGGATACCCTATAATTTACCATAGAAGGGTTAGGATAATCATATTCCAACTTTCTGGCTTCTACCTTAGGGTTTTGGATCGAGGCATTGGGATTTCCAGGACCCCCCAACTACCCTTTAATAGAGCCCTTATGGTCCTTGATAGTGGGTATTTGGGGTATATTAGAGGGTATATTCGGGGGTCTAGGCTAGGGCTTTAGTACCTCAGGGTTTAGATATTTGGTTTTAGGCTTTTACACTGTAGGTCTCAAGAGGGTAGGGTCGAGGGTTTCAGGTAATCCCTAAACGCTGCAAAGTCCCCTGCCCATCCTTTAGCACCTAGGATGCCCGGTAGTACCCTTATTCACTTTTTTTGGTCCTAGGTTCCTTATAAAGTTACCCAGTCTAAAAAAGAGAGGCCTTTTTATTCTTAGGTTACTGGGTAACCTAGTTTAGCACGATTGGTCTGCAAATCCAAGTTTTCGCTTGCTTGCAGTGCTCGAAGGTGCTACAGCCGCCGGAATTGGATGTCATGCGGATATTAATTCGTTGCAAACCCCAGTGAAGGTCCTCATGTCCCCACTCTTTGCTGCCCATGTGCCATGTGCCTCCGAAACCTACAAACCTTTCAACCCTGAACGGAAACTTAAACCCTGAACCCTAAAACCTAAACCCTGAACCCTAAACTCTAAACCCTAAACCCTGAACCCGAAACCCTAAACCCTAAACCGCCCGACATGGGGGAAGGCAAACTTGGAGCATGACATCGGTGACTCGGAGAGGCCCGGATGCTTCTGTTGATGATACAAATCCTGCATTACCTTAAGGACCCGAAACTATGGGAATGATGGTATATTCCTTATAATGAGTCATGCAGGATTTGTTTTATCATCAACCGTTAGAAAGTGAGGCTTGCATCCGTTTGACACGTCCTACCAAGGCCTAGTCGAATCCAGGACCCCTCAGTTGATATCATCCCTCTCTGTGAGCTGTTTGCCTGGGATCTAGTGTCGGTAGATCGCGCAAAATCCAAAGGCATAGCAGGTTTAGGGTTCAGGGAATTGGGGGTTTCGGTTTTTGGTTGCATCATAGGGATCCTTAGGGGTGTAGGGGGGAGGGGTGTAGGAGACTATATTTCCTTAAATAGGCCTTATTAGTCCTTATTATGGGCCTTAAGGCCCCCTACCCCCCCTCCCCCTACACCCCTAAGGATCCCTATGATTGCAGGGACTCAGGGCCTCTTTGTATGATGGTGTTCTCGCTAGATCTGCAAACCCAAGTGGGCGGTTGTCAAAATTAGGGTCCCTTTTTGGGTACCCGAAATAGTAGGTGCCGTATTATAGGAGGGACCCAAAAAGGGACCCTAATTTTGACAGCCACTCAAGTATCAGTTGTTGTTACGATGCCTCTTCCTCCAAACTTGACACTGGCATCCAAAGTTATGAACCCTTCCTGAAACTGAAGTCTGAAGACATGAGCGTGAAGCGCTTAGCTAACATGCAGCGACATGCTCAATATCAACCCTTCACATGTGTAAGCCCCACCTAGTACCTTTAACCTTTTTGGGGTAGTATAGTCCCTATATACCTTAGTTATTAAGAGGTTTAGGAGTTAGGGTTTAAGGGTTTAGGCTTGGGTATCTGCATTGTCCATCGGTTTAGGGTCCAGGGTGAAGGCGCGCAAGGCAGTATCCATAGCCTAATCCCAGCTCGATACCGTAAACCTAAACCCAAACCCTCCAACACCAAGTCGAGCCCTCAAAGCACGGCTAAGTTCGCCGCAAGCTTTTCTTGTGATTCCTTGTGTCACTGCTCTCCGTGCCTGTGCAAGGATTACGGCCAGAATGCTATGAGTGCATTGATTCATCTTGTACACGCTCGAACATTATTCAACATCAGTAGCAAATTTATAGTATATGTTGACAAGAGCAGCAGTACTTGCCATAGTGTTGCTCACGTCTTTGCTAAGCTTGATTGAGGCCTGGGCTGCCTCAGTTGTTCCCAGCTGCTCGTCGGATTTTTCGGAGCCATGTCCGTCCGCCGGTCGCAACCCATCCTTCGGCTGCTGTGCTTGGCTGCTTCCCGGTCTGCTGTTTAAGCAGGGGTGGGCGGTGGTGGGTGGCAGTTTCAGGGTTGCGAGCTGTCTTTGGGGTTTGACAGCCTCGGTTTGATAGCTGTTTAACGCGGTGTTGTACGGGTTCAAAGCGGCTTTGTCAACGACTTTTTGTGGCTTGTGGTATGGGCGCCGGGGAATGAAGGTCTGGATCCTGTCTTTCCTGAGTATTCAGGGCTGAGGCGGAAGAGGAGTACTAGGATGCCCAGTAGTACCTTTATTCCCTTTTTGTGGTCCTAGGTTCCTTATAGAGTCACCCCATACCAAAAGGAGCCCTTTTATTCCTAGGTTACTGGGCATCCTAGAGTAGAGCCCGACAGGATGACGATCATCGCAGCATTCTGCGACGATCACGACAGCTGCAACAAGCAGGAGTCACAGTGAGGACTGTAGGCTGTAGATCTCTGTTTTGGCATGTAAGCAAGTATGCATGCATGTGCATGCATGCATCCCACGCACAGTCGATCTCTCTCTCTCTCTCTCTCTCGAAAACTGGAAGACGCCACGTTGTCGAACGCTGCACGAAAGTTCACGAATGCTTGGAATGAATTGCTCAACCAGGAAACAGAAACAGCGCATCTTTTTCCGAACAACACGCTCTAACCATAGAACCCGTGTAGAATAGAACCGTTTTAGCACTAGCAGCTCGCTGGTAAAACCCTTATAGTGACAGTAGCCCTTTACCTAGCCTTCATAGAACCACATAGAACCCTTATTGTGCTAGTTGCCCTTCTTTTGCACCCGGTACAGAGCTCATATCGCAACCGCCACGCCCAAAACTCTAAGACATTAAACCCCTAACCCCAAACCCTACTTAAAGGGTCATGGGACTTAGTAATTAGGGTTATAATTAGGGTAACTATACTTATAATAACTTATAACCCCGATTTGGGTACTTATAACCCTACTTACTAAGTCCTCCAAGTAATCCCGAAAGACCGGCTAAACCTTCTAGAACAAAAAGCCCTAAACCCTTCCGGGACCCTGCACCCTAAAACCCACTATAACCCTAAGCCCTAAACGCTCCCAGGACCCTTGGTTCGAAACCTTCTTACCTTAAACCCTAAAAACCCTAGAACCCTAAACCCTAAAACCCCTAAATCCCTAAACCCTCAAACCCTAAACCCCAGAACCCTAGAACCCTAAACCCTACAGCCTTAAAACCCTAGAACCCTAAAGAACCCTAGAACCCTGAAACCCTAGAACCCTGAAGCCCTAAACCCTAAAACCCTGAAACTCTGAACCCTAAAACCCTAGAACCCTAGAGCCCTAAACCCCTAGAGCCCTAGAACCCTAGAACCCTAAACCCCTAGAGCCCTAGAACCCTAAACCCCTAGAGCCCTAGAACCCTAAACCCTTAGAACCCTAGAACACTAGAACCCTCAACCCCTAGAACCCTAGAACCCTAAACCCCTAGAACCCTAGAACCCTAGAACCCTAGAACCCTAAACCCCTAGAGCCCTAGAACCCTAAACCCCTAGAGTCCTAGAACCCTAAACCCCTAGAGCCCTAGAACCCTAAACCCTTAGAGCCCTAGAACACTAGAACCCTCAACCCCTAGAACCCTAGAACCCTAAACCCCTAGAACCCTAGAACCCTAAACCCCTAGAGCCCTAGAACCCTAAACCCCTAGAACCCTAGAGCCCTAAACCCCTAGAGCCCTAGAACCCTAGAACCCTAAACCCCTAGAGCCCTAGAACCCTAAACCCCTAGAGCCCTAGAACCCTAAACCCTTAGAACCCTAGAACACTAGAACCCTCAACCCCTAGAACCCTAGAACCCTAAACCCCTAGAACCCTAGAACCCTAGAACCCTAGAACCCTAGAACCCTAGAGCCCTAGAACCCTAAACCCCCAGAGCCCTAGAGCCCTAGAACCCTAAACCCCTAGAACCCTAGAACCCTAGAGCCCTAAACCCCTAGAACCCTAGAACCCTAGAACCCTAAACCCCTAAACCCCTAGAGCCCTAGAGCTCTAAACCCCTAGAACCCTAGAACCCTAAACCCCTAGAGCCCTAGAACCCTAGAACCCTCAACCCCTAGAGTCCTCAGAGGCTTTTGCCTTTGCCCTGCAGCAGCTTGGCTCGGCCTTCGTGGCTCCGGCGTCCCAGAGCCCGGGCCTCAGGGTTTAGGGTTTAGGGTTTAGGGTTTAGGGTTTAGGGTTTTGGGTTTTGGGTTTTGGGTTTAGGGTTTAGGGTTTTGGGTTTAGGGTTTTGGGTTTTGGGTTTTGGGTTTTGGGTTTTGGGTTTTGGGTTTTGGGTTTTGGGTTTTGGTTTAGGGTTTTGGGTTTTGGGTTTAGGGTTTTGGGTTTTGGGTTTTGGGTTTTGGGTTTAGGGTTTTGGGTTTTGGGTTTGGTTTAGGGTTTAGGGTTTTGGGTTTTGGGTTAGGGTTGGGGTTTAGGGTTTGGGGGTTTTTTGGGTTTTGGTTTTGGGTTTAGGGTTTGGGGGTTTAGGGTTTTGGGTTTAGGGTTTAGGGTTTAGGGTTTTGGGGTTTAGGGTTTTGGGGTTTTGGGTTTAGGGTTTTGGTTTTGGGTTTAGGGTTTTGGAGGGTTTAGGGTTTAGGGTTTAGGGTTTTTTCTGGGTTTTGGGTTTTGGGTTTTGGGTTTAGGGTTTAGGGTTTTGGGTTTTGGGTTCAGGGTTTAGGGCTTAATTAGGGAATATTCCGTAAATTTTAGCAATTATAGTAGGATCCCTAATATGATTTAAGGAATATTCCTTAACTAGGGGATATTGGAGTCGCTCCCTTCTGTGGAGCTCGAAAGGGTAGGGTTCTAGGATTCTAGGGTTTTAGGGGTTTAGGGGTTTTAGGGTCTAGGGTTTTAGGATTCTAGGGTTTTAGGGAAGAACCATTGTTAAGAACTATTGTCAGGTATATTCCTTATAATGGGTAATGCAGGGTTTTGTCCATCAGCAGTAGGATACCTTAGAAGCTGCCCCCACCCTGTAATAGTGGCATAATAGGAATATAATAGGGCCCTAATATAACCCTATATAATCCTTATGGTCACTATTACAGGGTGGGGGCCCCTTTTAAAGGATACCCTAAAAGTCCTAAACACCAAGCCCTAAACCCCAGTATCGACTTCCCAAAGTATGAGTTCAAACCCTAGTATCAGGGACCCCAAAAGCACAGAAGCATACGCATTTTAATAGGGATATCTCTACCTTGTTGGGCTTCATTATAAGGGGGTTTATATGGGATATCCCTATCCATTTTTGTTTTGCTTATGTGCCTTTTTGGGGGCCCTATTCTGTGGAGCTCGAAAGGGTAGGGTTCTAGGGTTTTAAAGTTTAGGGGTTTTAGGGTTTACGGGTTTTAGGGTTTAGGGTTTAGGCTTTAGGGGTTTAGGGTTACTAGGGGTCTAGTGGGGTTTTGGGAGGGGTTCAGGGTTTCGTAAGAAGCCAGCAGCTGCATGCACCCACCGTGCCCGTGCGACCGCTGCAAGTTTGAAGATGCCAGCTGCAGCGTCTGCTTACCTTTGGTTAGTAGGGAATAGGGCTCCTTTAAGGGGTTCCTCTTAAGGGCTCTATAGGGGTTTAGGGTTCCTTTAAGGGGATGCTTACCTCTGGTTAGTAGGGAATGCAGGAATAGGGTACAACTATAACTACTATTACTACCATTCTTCCACTCCCTACTAACCAAAGGTAAGCCTGCTGATGGCGAAGATCGCGAGGATCATCCCCATCGCTCTGCCTACATGTGGTACAAAGACGAAGCAACCGGCCTTTGCAAGTACTGGCAATCGCGAATGCGCACGGGTATCAAACGGAAGCAGGTTGTCAACTTCCGCTATAAGTGTTGGAGAGAGGATCGCTTGCGGAAGGCTTGCGAAGTCTGTGTGCAAGCTCTCGCGAGCGAGACCGTTGCTGCGAACAAGGAAGAGATCGATGCCTGCATGGCCCGCTATGTGCAGGAAGAATTTAGGGTTTAAGGTTCTAAAAAATTAAGGGCTTTAGGGCTTAGGGTTTAATTTTTGGGGTGGGGTTTTGTTTCTGTTGAATATTTTCCAGGGTTAGGGCCAAGTTTAGTGGCATCGGGTTGATAAGTACATAGGGTGATTGAGGCTCCATTGGTTTGGGCGTGTGGGGGCTCGGGCTCAAGGCGCCTTCGGGAATTGGGAAGGAGGTTCAGGGCTGCGGGGCTTCAGGGTTTCCGGCTTGCATGGTACTTAAAGGATCATGGGACTTAGTAACTAGGGTTGTAATTAGGGCAACTATCCTTCTAGTTACTTATTGCTCCAATTAGGGTACTTATACCCCAGCTTACTAAGTCCCATGATCCTCCAAGTAGAGGGTTCAGGGGGTTGTGGGTCTCTTAGGTCTTAGGGCTCATACAATTCATGGGGGGTCTACTGGGATGACAGCGAAGGGTTGACTTTTCGAGTAGGGGTTCGTGCCGGTGATGTGTCCCTAACGCCGAAAGCTAAAACCCAAACCCCAAAGCGGTTATTGGTATGTGGATTTCATACTTACAAAGTACCTGTATGGGGCTACTAGAGACGCACCTCCAAATTGTTTTCAGTCAACATCAACTTGTACTAGCTAAATCCCTGGTCCCCTGCGTGTGCTGGTGGCTTGGACAACAGTGACGGAATTTAAGCTCATCTAAACCCTTAATCCTCAAGGGAGCGAAATTGATTTCGCTCCAGAGGCACGTAAGGGCAGCGCCCAGCGTAATGTTGGCCCCAAGCCTATTCATGACTATGTCCCTCCGAAAGCCATCCAGGCTGCCCGAGACTCTAATCATTGAGGCCGCCATAATAATATGAAGCCCGAAACCCTGACCACGAACTTTGCTAGGAGGCCTGCGCATGAAATCAGTGGTGACGAAGGCGGGCTTCTTGTTCTCGGGAGGGGGCTGGCAGGTGCTTACGTAAAGGGTCATGGGACTTAGTAACTACAGGGTTATAATTAGGGTAACTATATGCTTATAATTACTTATAGCCGCAATTAGGGTACTTATAACCCCACTTACTAAGTCCCATGATCCTCCAAGTAGGGTTTGCCATTTTCGGGTCTACGGCCTCGGGCTCAAGGGTTTGAGGGTTGGGGGTTGTGAAGTTTTCGGCGTCCCTAGCCCTGAGGCTCAAAATAGCCCAAATGCTCGGCGCAGCGTGGTCTTTGAGCCCAAGAGCCGAATTACATTCCAAATCCTGATCCCTGAACCCCAAACAAGCCCTCATGAGTCCGTAGAGCGTCATAGGGTAAGGGCTTATAAACGTCAATAGGCAATATAGGAGCCTGAGTAAAACACCCTGGCTCTTTGTTAGGGTTCTTTATATGAGCCTTAATGTTTTGGGGGTTTCAGGGCCAGGATTTCTGAAACAGCACATGAAAGAACTTCAGGGTTTTAACTGGACGCTGGGAAGATGCGATTTTCCAGGACCCTTAGGCTCCATGTGCCTATGGGATGCTCTGAGGGTTCCTACAAGGGTTCCTTTGAGGGCCCCTTTCAGGGGTCCATAGTTTAAGAATGCTTAGGATTTAGGGGTCTATCTAGTATATAATCAGTTGGTACATTTGGGCCTTGAAGGGGCTCCTGTATAGGATCCTTAAGATCGAATTAAGTAGATACTGTACTATTTAGGCACATGGAGCCTTGTTTGAGCTGCCGAAAATTGGAACCCTGCAGACGTACGAGCCTTACACCCTCCAACCGTACCGCACTGCGTTTGAAATCCTTTCCTGCAGAGTTCAGTCGTGAATAGCCATCCGGGTAAGGTGTCAAGGTTTCATTCCCCCGTCAACGTCAGAAGCTCAGTTTGTGAGGGTTTACTTGGAGAGCCGGGGGAAATGGGAAGTAGGTGAAGTAGAGTTGCACGTGCGCCAAATCGGGCCTAATTGGAGTTCTGATACTGGTAGCACCATATACACTAGCTGCTTACTAAGCCCCCCGAGCTTACAACTAGGGTTAAGCGTTCAATTCAACCGGTTTCAATCCGTCAAGTACCACGGAGCGGTCCACAGGCGGAGGCAGAAGCGAAAGAACAGACGCCCGCTGACGACGAGGAAGAAGAGAAGATCTTCGATGACACCTGGCCACATAGCCCCACCTGGACCCCAAAAGTATGTAGAATAATAGCCTTTTATAGGTGGTGGGCCATTATTTTACCCAGTTTTGAGGGTCTAGGTAAGACTCCAAGTAGACGACACGTGCTACTTGCCTTGGGATCGAGAGTATGAATGGTAATAGTACCTACTTTGAGCTATGTCGAGTCTTGGGGTACGGCCTCATAGATCCGGCGCACTACTCTTCCAGCGTTTGTGTTGCTGCATCGGCTAGCTATTTAGCTTTGTGCATTGTTCTACAGTTTCCTTAGGAATGATTGTTGATTTTTGTTCATATAAAACCCCAAAGAATATTGAACGTATTATTTTTATGATGGTTCTAAGGGGGGGTACAGTGTTGAGTCATCGTTCAAGCACACGTGTGCTGGCCCAGCCTCCGATGAGGTTTCCTTTTAGGGGGTTCAGGGTTTACGGTTTGGGGGGGTAGTTCGGAAGTGAAATATGAAACTCCTGGCGTAGCTCGTTGTCGCGGGTCTGTGTTTAGGCTCTTGCAATGTTTTGTGGGCAGGATTTGACAAGCATAGACAAGCCAAGCAGACAATGGACCAAGCACATTGTTTCATGCATACTCTGCATCATATGATCAAATCCTGGCGAGTGGCAGTACAGTCATGTTACGGCAACACGCATCTTTCAATCTGCTTGGATTGCCACAGCCTTGCTCTCGTTGATGATGCATCAATGGTTGGCACGGGACATACAAACGAGATCGAACGAGGTTGGATTGAATGCGGTGTCCATGCAAAGTGGCATATCTACCCATGCGATGTGATCGCGACAGTAATGTCGCCTCAGGTACTACTACATGGCAAAATACAGCCAGCCCAACCCTCATGCATGCGCGACGCATTCTTCGATCACACCGGAAGGTAAGAACGAATTCTAGCAGTTTTCGCATCGCGATCTTGAAGCGTTTGCCAAAACATCGGCAGTACTTCAACTCCCGTTCTGTAGCCGTAACGTTGAATTCCAGGCCGGAGTTCTTTTCGCGGTCACTGCCAGGATGCCAGGTTAGACTGTTAGAATCTGTAAGCACATACTTCTCGTTGAAAAAGAGCAGGGTTCAAGCTTGTGGGGTTTGTACAACGAACGGTCCAGGAATTTGTGGTTTCAGGTCAGCAGGACTCGTTCAGGGTCCTCAATATCGTTAAGGTTGCTATTCTGCTTCCTTCTGCCTGATAAGCTTAAACTCGGTGTTAGTATTTCAGTTGTTATGTGTTGAACTTTAACTATGCCCGGACCTCGGAACTTGAGATATTAGAGATTGCCGACGTTACTCGGTCCTGTGTCGTGTGCATACCGAGTGACAGGGATTGGGACGGTATTCACAAGTTGTGGGAAGCAGCGGTCGCAGAGTCGGCCACAGTGCATTGTCATGAAGTCGGCAGAAAAGAAACACGCACGTTTGCCTTCATTTCGAGACGAGGGGTGACCGTCAGGTCGCCGTACCGTGGGTTTGGCCTTTAGTTGTTGTATCCTCTGCACCCCTCTGCATCGGCTGTTGATTTCTCAACAGCAAAGTTTTTCCGCGTTCTCTGCACGTCGTAGTTGCAGGTATTGACGCTGATCGTAAGTCGTTGTAGTTGCGACCGTGGCCAATTTCCATGAACAATATCGAAGCTGGAAAGACCTCAGCAAGCAACCAACGGGTTGTTTCGATTGCTAGTATGGATTTGGAAATATGTTCCGGCCAAGGATGGCATACGTGTTGTGATAAGAAACACCACTGCTCAATGTTCGGTTTCGGCCTTACTTTGCGAGAACAGAACTTGCGTTACGATGTCAGTGTGGTTCATTTTTTTTGGTGGTGTTCCTCGGATGGCCTTGTCGACGTGCGGTAGGGTAGAATGTTGATAAATACACACCAAACTTTTTAAAGTTTGGTGTGTTTCGTCGATGTGCCTGCAAGCACGACCTGGGCTTTGTTCATTACGCTAAGTTTGTTTTTCTGCACGTGCAAGACTGCTAATTTTATGCAGTTCTACACGTTTCTCCCGAGGATTGGTTCGAGAACACAGATGCAACCAGCGGCGGGGTGTTCTGGTTCTGGCTGATTCCATTTTCGGCGGTCCTCTTCTATGTCTCGTGCCTGAAATCAACCTCAGGTTCAGAAATGATTCGATGACCGGGGGATCGGATCTGAGAGTCGGCATTGCATGTTTTCAAGCCACTGACAAGTTCGGCGTTCCAGGTTTGAGGGATAGCCCGCCATGGCTCTTTAATATCCCAGCCTAAGATTTCATGTACTTGTTTGAAGCTCTGTACGGACGTGCATTTGCATCTACGATGAAAACAGAGTTGCATGAAACCATGGATTGGGGACAACGGTGTTTTACTCCGACTGGTAGACGAGAATGACAGAGCTCGGAAGCCTGAAGTAGACAGTTCAGTCGTGTCTGCATATTATTTTGAAGTGGTATCGTATCACGAAATTCCTTTGTCGACCGGTTTGTTGAACGGGGTTCCCTTGAGCATCCGATGGTTGAAGCTGCACCCTATAGCTTGAGAGCTGCATCATTGCAACCTTCGGGCGGAGCTTTCTTCCGTGCTTGAGGATGAGCTTTTTGGTGTAGGGCGATGTTAGCAAAGACATGCAGAACAAATATTGTCATGTTTTGCTGAAAGCATTCAACAGACGGATATTTAGCCGTTGTCGTTCGGAATAATGTAGACCCCAGATTCAGCGATGCAGAGCACCTCCCTTTATAAAGAACAGACATCTGAAGATCATGTCCCTCGAGCAACGGTGCTTTGATTAAGCAGGACTTGACATTGTACTTGAGGTCGGAGCCTCGTGATGCTGCAAGTCTGCGGGTCGAGGGTTTAGGTAGTGCTTGCAGGATCACAGCGGGTTTAGGGACTTTAGGGTTTAGGGTTTAGCTTTAGGGTTTTAGGGTTTAGGTCGAGTTTTAGGCAAGTTGAAGGGTCCCGGAAGCTTGGCACGCATTATCTTTTACATGGGCCTTAAAAGGGTTCCGGTGCAGGTATTTTGGAGACAAACAGGGGCAAGCAATATATCTATATATATGTACATACATACATATGGCATGTGTATGTACAAAAAAATATGTACATACATATGTATATATGTGTTTTGCGCATGTATGTATCTGCATGTACATGTTTGCTTTTGTTTATCTGGTACATGCTGCAAATGTTGCATTTGGTGACTCCCAAGCTTCATTCGTGGCGCCTTCACCTTAAATCCTTCACTGACACAGCCGTGAACACAGACGACTTCCGTGAACATAGACGACTGGAACGGAGCCGAATGAAGAGCCACTTCCTACCCTAAGCCCTAAGCTACTATGTCGCATTATGTTGCTAGGTATACCTCGACCTCATCTACGGTGAGAAGTGCGTCACCTCGTCATTGAATTCGTCCCTCGGCCAGCATTGTTTAGGCCAAGGGGGCTCGGAGTTGAGATGTTGCCCACCTGATCCCTGTACATGTCGGGCCTAGAGCTGCGGGCTTTGTGTTTTTAAGGGCCATCTCTCTTCACACTCGAAACCCCAAACTCCCAAACCCTGCACCGCCAATCTCGCCAAACCCTAAAGCGCTTGAACCCATAACTCTAAGCTTTCCAACGTGCCAGCCACGTTGTGCTGCGGGCCCAATTTGATCTAAATTGGATCCCATACTTGGAGGATCGTCGCGGTTATAAGTACATAGCGGAGTTGGTCTAAATTGTAAGTAATTATAAGTATGGCCTACTCTAGTTATAATTCCAGTAAGTGCTGTTGTATTTGACACAACCGATTTAATTTTTTTGGACGGACATATTAAGTAGTTGCGGCGCAAGCTATGTACTTAGCTTGTGCCGTAAGTAGTTGTCTTACTTAGTATTTAGACATAGGTTCACTTATATGTACTTATGGGTGGACTTATATGTACTTACAAGCACTTATAAGTACTTAGGCTAAGTCCGCCAAGTAGTTAGGGCTAAGTCCGCCAACTGGCTTAGGCCGCGGGCTGTGTAAGTGGGTTACCTGGGTTCAGAGCTAAGTGGGCTAAGTGGGTTAGGGGCTTCTAGGAATCATGCTTTAAATCGTTGGAAAATTCTGCATTTTGTTTAAAACACAATAACTTTTTGTCTCTTTTGTGGACGAATTCATGAGCACGGACTGCTTCACAAAAGCATACATACCATGTATTTGTATATGTACATTTTTTGTAATCATACGTATATGTATACATGTTCACGTTCCTGCACTTGTACATGTAACATGTACACGTACATACACACATACACATATATATATACATATATAGACTGCATATATATATATATATATATATATATACACGTATATATCGGGAGCATGCATGTGCGTGGGAGATATGTATATACATATATATGTGTATACATGTATATATATATATATATGTTTATATGTATATGTAAATATGTCGCTATATATATATATACATGTAGCGGCAGACGTATATGAAGGATTATATACTTGAACGTATGGAAAAACATAAAGCAGCATTTGGGTTAATGCATTCAGCCGCCTTTGTGTATATAACGATTGTAGATATGTCTATATATATATATATGAATATAAACATGTATATATATATATGCACACACAAGCTTATGCATACATATGTCTATACATGTAAATCGCGCATGTATAGCTGCACACCCACATACTCAAAAACATGTAAGTATACATTTATACACCAATGCTGTAAACCAAAGTTATAGATATATATATATATATATATGTATCTGTACATATATATCTATATTCATGTTAAGCACCCAAACCCCATACAAACCCCATCTGAAGACCTTATATATATATATAATATCTGTTTACATAGTTATACAGAAGAACATATATTCGACAACTTTATAAAACTGTCGAATATATGTTCTTCTGTATAAGTAAACAGATTTATATATATATATATAACCACCCCAAAATCACTAAAACCCATCCCATGTGTTGCCGCTGCTTGGGCATCTGCGTGCCCCCGCTCAAGGCGGGGGGGGGGGCGGGTCGGGTTAAAATTAGAGGGTTGAGGGTATATATTGGGTTTCGGGTTTGTCTTTTGTTTTTTTTTTTCGGAATGTTTGCGTATAACGGTGATGTAGGTGTAGCGAGGTTTCTGCCCTGTTCTCTGAATGTCAACGTTTTGAAATTCAAGCAAGCTTGGGTAGATGGCGGGAGCAACTTATAGACTCTCTTAAGGAAATGCCGGGTCATCTTTATAAATGTTTGAAGATCATGGTCGGTTAGCGTTTTTGGGTTGGGGCTAAAAGCGTGTTATTGTCTTTGTATATTCCGTTTAAGACTGAAACTTGCATCGAGCGACTTTTGATTTAACGTTGCCTGTTCGACCGTTTACATACATTTATAGACGTATATGTAGAGGGCTGGTTGGCATAAGGGTATATAGATTTGTCAGGTTTGCGGGTTTTGTATATGAATTCAATCCTAAAATTAGAAACGCTATGCAAGCATATAATATATATGTATACAAAAACTGTGTGCTTGCATATCGTTTTTAATTTTAGGCTTGAATTCGTATACATGCGATTCAGAAGGGTTTCTTGGGTTGGGTGTCTTACTTCGGCATGTTGTTTTGGAGTTCAAGAGACCATGATGGCATAGGGTATGTTGTTGAAACTTGTTGGTGGGCTTGGTTGTTGGTCTGGAGGGCGGTGTTGTCACCATTTAACATTGTCTGTTAGAGATTTTCGGTTGCAAGGCTATAACCACATGTATAGAGTTCTATATCGGGTATATAATATTGGGTTTAGGGGGAACTGCGGTCTATGGCAGGACAGTACATACACATAGAAACAGTCTTCATGCCCATTGCATGCTTGGGCATTTGACCTCGAGTCGGCGGCAGAACTTTCCAGACACATGTTCGCCGCCGGGCTGCAGCAGGACGCATGCAAGTTCGCTGCACCGTAAAGGCTGCGTGTCACGACAGCCACTTCCGCTACATGGTTTGAGCGGAAACGCCTGACGGAACACGTTTTCGTATGTGACTGCTGGCCAAACTGTCCAGAGCATATATATGTTTTCATGCATCCACGCAGAGTATAAAAAAAAGGCAAAGATGTTTATGGCATGCATGCATTTCAGCAGCAGGACAGATGCGTGTTCGCTGTTGTTTGCTGCAGGACTCCGGTTCGCAGCAGTTTGTGTAGCACAGAACCTTGCAAGATGGCAGACATGCTTCCCGCATTGGAGGTGGCTTTTGTGGATCGGTTTTGGAAGTGGGACGACGGCAAGGGCCTTCCCGCGAAGCCCCGATGGTGTCCACTTACCACAGCCCAGCAGAAAGACATTCATGAAGAGAGCACTTCATTGACCCTTCTGCCGGACAATCGAACATTTCAGAAGGTTGCAGTGTATGATTCCGGGATCAAGCTTTTCCAGTCCGAGGGGATGTGGAACGTTGAGTCTTGGTCTTATGTGCGAGCTTTGGCCCGGCCAATCGGCCCGGACCTTGTACTGAGCGTGCACGCCGACCACATGACGACGGAGCAATACTTGAAGTGACTCAGATGAGCTAATTTTCTCGTGTGTTTTTGTATACATATATACACACGAAAACACACACAACAAAGAAGCACCAGATTTATAAACGCATAAATATACACATATGCAGCTGAAGTCATATGCAGGTTCGACTGTCGTTCCTGCGTCTCGGGGCGGCTTCTCTTTCATCTCTTTGTGACCGACAAGGAGAACTTGTCCATGAACGTCTTGGGAATGAGGATCAAGCGGCGCTGCGTCGATGAGAAACTCATCAGTCCTCAGCAGCACGTTCGCCTGGTCAGCTCAGTAACCGGGGAGCTCATGAGCTGCGAGATAGGGTTCCTCTGGGGCCCACGAGTCCTTGCCGGCCTCAAGCCGCGCATGCGACTGGTTAAGAAGACCAGGTTTTCCAAAGTTTCCCTTCGCAAGTTCTTTTTGCCATGCAATTCTTGAAGCTGCAGGTTTCAGTGTTGCTTATAGCGCCGGCGCAATAAGGACCATGATGTAAATACGTGTTTCCGGACATCCTGTATATATACATCTATATATTCTTGTATAGTTGCATTGTATTCTATATATGGTTGATGTCGACGCGTTTTTAAAGAAACCGATTTTGTGATCAGAAGCTCGATCTCATTTGCGAAAAGGTTTGACTTTGCATCTTTGGAATGCTTGCAGTTTTGGTGACATGCATTGATCGCTGCAGAGCCACGTCTCGCAGCGTTGCTTCGCAGGGTGTGTTCGCGAAGCCTTTGTTTCGAGACGTCCCAGCAATTCTCTCCCTTTCGCACCTGATTCGCAATCATGGCTCTTACGCCTGAGCTTTGCAGCAAGGTGGAAACCATCCTGGCAGAGGCCAGCGGCGGTGCTCTGTCCAGGTCGATGGAACGCTTGTACAAGCTCTTGTCGGACTCAGGCTTGATGTACGAACAGAAAATCAACTCCAAATTCATTGGCGTACATACGGCCAACAGGGACGGGGCCGGGGTGAGTGCAAAGCACGTCCATGACCTCCTCGGCGACCTAGTGTCGCTGGGGTGGTCTCAAGCCGAGTTTCGCGGCATCTGTGTGGAAGTGGCTGATGCTGAGCGGGCATTCATGTTTAAGTACAACAATGACCTCGCCCAGCAGTCGGATGGGCAGATTCCATGCTTCCAATCGGACAGCATGCTGAAGTTCTGCACCATTGCAGGATCCCATACCAACCAGGTCCTGCGGTGCTTCCAATCCAGAGTCGCAAGCACCGCACAGCACGTATCGGATGGCACGCATCTGAACGTGGACAAGCTGCGGGCTCACGACGAGGACTTCCACGAGGCCGTCTCGGAAGGAGCCGTATGGCGGGTGGTATCGCAGGCCGTTCCGCAGCGCTTTCCGAGCTTCTGCGCTCTGGCACAGTCTGCTGCAAACGCAGCCGGGCACTTGGCCCGGGAAGAGTCCGAACTGCACCTCTGCCGCAAAATACATGCGGAGGTCGCGAGGCAGCAGAGCCAGGGCAAGGACTTCGTGGCCTACAACGATGTGAAGGACGCAGTCCTGCGGTCCAAGCCGCGTGCAGCAGGCACGGTTCCAGCCCTGTTCGTCTTTACACTGCGGTACTCGGGCGGGCAAGCCGGGCATCTTCTGCAAGAGACGGAGAGATTCGTCCGTGGCCAAGGACACAACAGTCGTGCTTTGGGACCCGATGTCTTCGAAGCTTTGAATGTGGAAAGCAGAGGCAGGGACCCGCAAGCCCAACTACGACATATGATTCTGCACTTTGCATACACCGTCGAGGATGCCAGGGCCTTGACCATGACGGACATCAAAAAACTGCTTTCTCCCAGCATGGATGCGAAGACCGGCAGAGTGGTCCAAATCCTCACGGACTGCAAGGACCTATGCTCCAAGCACGCGGTTCCATCTCATATCGCTCTGAAGGCATTGGGCTTTCTCCAGGTGCACATGATTGCGGTGCTGCTTCAGAAGAAGAAGATCCAGAAATTCGACACAGTGGACGAGGCGGCCGAGGACTGCGTGAACACGATTTTGCGAGACGCCAAGCTGAGTTTCCCGAACCCGTACCAGCACAAGGCAAGTAGTTCCTCGCCGTCGGGTAAGACAGGCAAAAATGACCAGGCCATGGTGCCGCTTGGTGGCAGATCTTCGCATTATACATACACATATACACGTCTATATATACACACACATATATATATATATATATATATATATATATATATCCGATATATGCACATCCACGAGCGACGCAGAAACGGGCTTTGCGTTTTGAAGAGGGAGGGTGACTGTGCTTTGCTCGTCGTGCTCAACATGGCCATGTGAAGATGTTGTCATGGTCTCCATTCTGCAGGGTGCCAATCTCGCAGAATACTGTGCAGGACATATTCGCACAGTCAGGCAAAGCAGATAGAAGCAAACCTATATATAGGGATACTTGGAATTGGCATTAACAGATGTCTTGATCTACGCGTACATATGTAATGTGTATATATATATATAGAGATGTATATATATATATATATATATATATGTAGTATATATATGTTCCTATATATAAAGCTATTCAATTTTGCATGTGTACATGTATTTTGTGTATATATATATATATATATGTATATACACCAATGTACACACATATAGACATGTAGTCCATGCAATCGGATATATATATATATATATATATATATATATATATCTGATACAACTATTCTTGAGGCTTTGCGAGCTTGACGAAGCGGGCAAAGACACCAATGATGCCCGCCTGAGATCCGCCGGCTTCGACATCGGCCAAGACGTTCTCCGGAAGAGCGACTCCGCCAAAGCCAAGATCCAGGCCATGAGCGCCACCGATGTGACGCTCCTGGTGGGGAAGGATGTCGTCAAAGTCCCCGCGAAAAACTTCTTGGCAGGCGAGTGGAAACAGTTTACCGCAAAGGCCGAGGCTTTGGCGGTGCCCTTTTTGGAAATCCCCGTGAACTCCCTAGACTTCGAGATCCAGCTGTGGAGGGCGAAAATCCTGGAGCACATGACCGCTGAGGAAGCCACCGGCGCGAAGCACTATGACGCCCTGGAGGTGTTCCTCAAGCCGTCCAAGGATGTCAGGACCACCAAGAAGTTCGACAAGGGCATGTTGCAAATTGTTGCCAGCACGCATCGAATCGATCTGAAGCCAGCCGGCAGCAGTGTTGGCTCCAGCATCTGCTGTGGCACGGCAGACATCCAGGGGGAGATCTACGACATCCTGCTCAGCTCTTGCCTGCAGCAGACCCCGAAGCAGGTGTTGCACCCGTTCTGGGTCTTGCGGACCTCCACGAACGTTGCAGAATGCAACATGGAGCTCGTTCCCAAAAATCATTCCAATAGGAGGTTAAAGATCGACACAGTTGCATGGCACATTCCCATGGCTAGAAACACCAAGGTCGTGAACGCAGGCGACTCTTTGGTTTTGTACAAAGCTGCGACAGCTGCGAAGCCGGAGCCTTTGCTGCCTGTTCAGAAGAAGCCCAGAAAGGCTTAGGCGGCTGGCCTTCGGCCTCTGAAGACATTATATAGATATGTACATATGTACATGTATATGAAATGAAAACCAGTTATATATCGATGTAGAATGTGCTTTCTTTCCGCGTTATATAGTGCAATAAACAACTGCGCCTCTGTAGATATCTAAATGTAAGTATGTATGTATATATATATACACATTTACATATTATACTCAAGCCGCCGGGTCATAATCCCGAAGCAGATTTCTCAAGTCGATTAGAGCCTGTGGGCTCCGATTTTTCAGGTCGAGCAGAGCATGTGGGTTCGCTTGACCACGGGCAGGGATGTATTCTCGCCCGTGACATGTTCTGCAGAGCAGGAGCATCCAGCATGGCTTTGGAGAAAATATTGCCATTGTGCATGAGAGCATGCTTGGCGATTGCATCGAGATTCGTTGCACAAGTTGCATGGGGCATTGTGCAAATCTTAGAAGGCTTTTTGACGTCTGCAGGGCTTGAGGCTCGCAGACAGCGAAACAAGATCGGATTATCGTCCTCATCTCTTCAGACCCGCGCACAGGGCCGATGGCAAAGCCGACCGAGATGCAGCAGGTCTGGGCGATTACGGGGGGAATGTTGAAGAAAAAAAAGTGGCTGGTCAAGACCAAGGAGGTAGAGGACAAGCTGTTTCTTCAGATCGACAAATGGGACCGCTCCTTTGTCCAGTTTGTGACGGGCAACACTGTCCAGCTGAAGAAAGAGAAGGAACTTAGGGTTCATTCTCTTGGACATAAGATTTATAATGCCAAACCCCGGGTGTCCCCAAGTATATAGATGTACAGGTTTATTTATGTATATATAGGGTGTATGTAGGGCGAGTATATATATATATATATATGTATATGTATATGTATATATGTATACGTATATGTATATGTGTATATATATATATATATATAGAGCGACTATAATCCAGGACCCACACCATCTCAGCATCAAGGCCTTTCAAGAATTGCTCGACCTGCGGAAGGAGGCGTGTGACCGCGCGTACAACCGGCACATTCGGGATGCCGCGGCTACTGCGGGCGACAAGGAGCCGCAATATCGAAATGCTCGAGAAGCCGACGTCTACGTGGCAGGCCGGACGGTGGTGATGGAGTGTCCAGAGGTGGTTTTCGGGGGGGATACGATGCCTGCTCGGAACATTGCGGCCATTTGGTCGGTGAAAGATCCCGTGCTATGGATGGAGCTTACCCCAGAGAACTTGGATTACCTGGGGTTGTTCATGCGGCGCGGCTTGATGGAGCATCAAGAGAGCGACGCACCGATTCGTCGTCGCAAGAAGCTTCGTGGGGAGGAAGCACGTCCCATTGATGCTGGCTCCCCCAAAAGGAAGAGCCGCCGCGGCCGCAAGCGCAAGGCACCCAATAGCGAAGAAGCGGCGCCGTTGCAGGAGGAATCCCCCCCGCCAGTCCCTGAGGAGTCCGACTCGAATGAGGTTGTAGTCAACGGCATCATCAATGGCTCCTAGATGGAGAGCTGCTGTACAACGGCACGATCATGGTTTTGCGGCTGCTGAGCACAAATCCACTTGTCTTGTGCAGGGACATGCTCGTGCATGCGGTTTGTTCTGTATATGCGTGAATGTCTGTGTGTGTGCTTCTGTTTGAGTGTTTGCACTGAAGAATAAATATATATAAATATAGATGTGTTTATGTTGAATTATAAATAAATACAGATATATATTATACTACTATACTATACTATGCTTCACTATATGCTATGCTATGCTATCACCTGCACCACCACCACCACCGCCGCCACCACCACCACCACCACCGCCACCACCACCACCACCTACGACTATATGAAAAGCTCCCAAACCATTAAAACCGCAAAGGCCGTGAACGCTCTGAAGCCCTTAACCTTTAGAACCCCCTGAAGCCCGAAACCCTGAAGCCTTGTAACGCCTAAACCCCGGAACGCCCCTGAGCCACTAAACTTTACCGCCCCTTTAAATCCTTACAAAGCCTGAAACCCCCTATGTATAGAAGCCCGAAAGCCCAACACCCCTGAACGACTATATGTATAAGCGCCCAAAATGCTAAAGCCGTATATATACCCCATATATATAGAGCCTCAAAGCCCAAACACACAGAAGCCCAAACGCCTCCAAACCCCAAACTTCTATGAAACCCTTGGAGTGCATGCAGCCCGAAATCTTGCAGCCCCTGGACGACTATGCCCCTGAACCCTTAAACCCTATATAGGATATAAAAGCCTATATATAGGCCAAAGGCCCAACAGCCGCAAAGCCGGAAACCTTGTAAGCGCTTATATATCCCTCTATAGCGCACTAAACCCAAATCCCCGACACTCCTATCTGGACATAAGCTTTTTAACATTAAACCCCCATCCGCAGAAAGTCCCATTATAGAACCCTTTACAACGCCCTATATATGTATAAATGTATATATCTAAACCCTTAAAACCCCTACACCCTTTGAGGCCCTATTATAAATCCTTGAATCCCTAAACCCCTGATTTCCAAGTGCCGCCCGCCGCAGCACATGCAGCAGCGAGGAAACAGCGGCATGCGAGTTTGGGATACTTTGGGTTTCGATGTACATGCTTCAGATCATAGGTCAATCCTTATATAGATTCAGAGCAGATTTAACTTATAGTTGGCCTTACATTGCATCTGTGATTGGGCTCTCTGGAGTAAGTTATGTGGGTGTTATAGCAGAGTCGCAAATCCCAATTTAGGTTTCAGAAGGTAGCTTGCTGGCAGTTCCGTTACGTTGCCTGGACGGTTCCGGGTGATAGGCTGCAAGTGCTAACACTTTGGGCTTTGGGCGCTAGAGGGCAACACCCGAAGGGTCCGATAGAGTTGTGCGATCAATATAGTAACGATTCCTATAATGTCTATATTGGCGTAATTACAATATAGAGGTGCCTCTGGACCCTTTGGGTTTTTTTGCGGCGCCATGGCAAAGGAAGAGGGCGATGATGAGGGATTTGGTTTGGTCACATGTCGTGACATGGGGGACGAGGAGGCATTCGAAGAGGAGGGCCAGGTCCGGCGTGAACGTCAAAAACCCTTGAAGTAATATCTTATATAGAGCACCCATAATAAGCTGTGTAGACATGGGGTTTAATTCTGTAAAACCGCCCAAAATGTGTAATCCCACTTTAAGGCAAACACATGTGTTTGCGGTCTAGATTGGCGGGTCCCTGAAACTTTTCTCCGAATAAACCCCACTCCTTACACAAAGCTCGCTCAGGGGATCTCGTATGGAGTCTAAAGAACAATAAGATAATATAGGGCAAAATCCTCTATATATCCACCCTATAACGAAGCACTCCTTCGTGCATATTGTTTCATGTCTGTCCTCAGGACGAAGCATGGTGGAAGGACGAGGAAGAGGACGAGTGGAAGGAAGAGCTCCAGGAGGACATCAAGTATGAGGAAGAGCGGAGCTGGCGTGGGTGGTACAGCGTCAAGCGCGAGGCCGACGATGGCTGGGGCAATGGTGGTTGGGGGGGAAAGCGGCAGAAGTCTTCCTGGACCAACTGGCAGAACTGGAGGGGCAAGTCGGAGTCAGGGCGACTCGACATGCAATGTATGTACATGTATATATTTCTATAGATATGTATACATAATATATATATATATATATGTATAATTATGTTTTATGTATATTTATATGTATGTATATATAGACATGTGTATGTATATATATATATATATATATATATAGAGCTATATATATATATATATATACATATCCAGGTCAAGAGCTTTTATGCATGCAGCGGTCTGTTAGACAAACATGCATGAAGCTTGTTATCGTACTCAGGGCTGTTAATGTTATATATGTTTAGACAAGGTTTCTTCTTTTGGTTCTATTCCGGGTTTTCGACTTATGTATTATCATCTATATAACAGTATATATCTCATGATTTGAAGAAGTGTGCATATTATAGATTTCAATTTGCATGCACAATGGATGCGATCCAGAAGCACATTATCATAATCAACATATAGGAATGTATGCAGTCCGCTATATATATATACACATATATATGTACATATATATATATACACCCCATGCAATATACATAAATATATACATATAAACATATATATATATATATGTATATTTATATATATAGATGTATTTTATATTTGTATTTGTATTTGTATTTATATCTATATATGTATAGGGTCCTATATAGACTCCTTGTACTCGCATGTATTGTATCAAATCTCAGGTCCATGGATGAGCAGAGATCCTCGAGCTCCAGCGGGTACAGGGGCATGGGTGACTACCGGCCCGACGGGCGTGGCGGGTTTTACCTGCCCAACGGCGCCGGCTTCGTCGATGCCAATGGGGTGACCCACAAGTCACTGGACTTATGTAGATATGTTTGCGTTTAATTATAGTACATAAGAATATATATAGTTATATAGAAGACTTACATATACTTTTCACATGCATAGTACATGCTTCCTAAATAACATACGTGAACATACCTACATATGTATATTTATGCTTGTACTTGTATCTACACAGTTGCTTTCTATACTGCTGCCACATGCATGCGTGTATGTCCCTTTGCGTATTTACATATGGGTTTAAGCGGTCTGACAGGGTTGTCTATTATATCACCTTGTAGTTACATAATTATTCAAAATGAATATAAACCAAATTAACATTCTTCCAATTACTCCAAACTCCCAGGCCTATTCCCTAAACCCTAGATAAACCCTATAAACCTTAAACCGTGGCTCAGGCCGGGCGAAGGCAGATGGAAGCCGCGTGTGAGAGGAGGGCAAAAAGAGCAGCAGAAAAGACGGCACAAGGCCGAGAAAGAAGTCCTTCACCGAGCGGTGAACGGGCTTTCTAAGATGGCTGATGTGCTTCATGCGACCATGGTGCCCAAGTAGAGTCATAAGTACCCGGTACCCCCAACCAAAAAAGGTCCTAATCCCTGAAGCCTTAAAGGGGATATAATACTGAGAACTCTTTAAAATCGATACTTCTTAAGCTCCAACAAATGCGGTTTATGGGCAAGTCGATGAAACACATCTGCCATAGAATGCCTCGCAATTGGCTGTCCTGCCCACTGAGGTGATCTGTGAAGTGTGGCCGGAGTGGTAGCGCATAACACTACTACTATATACTACATATATATACTACTAGTAACACTTTAACTATACGATATACTACTACTACTACAACTACTATACTACTACTATTACTACTAATATACTACTGCTGCTACTACTATACTACTATACTAGTACCACTACTACTACTATATACTATTACTACTACTACTACTACTACTACTACTACTACTACTACTACTACTACTACTACTATACTACTATACTACACTACTACTAATACTACTACTACTACTACTACTACTACTACTACTACTACTACTACTACTACTACTACTACTACTACTACTACTACTACTACTACTACTATACGCTACACTATACTAGATTACACTTTGTTACGCGGTATAGATTGTATACTATACCATACACCTGCTACTAAAATGATACTAATAGTAGTAATACCATACTATACCCATGTACTACTATACTATACACTATACTACTACTACTATATACGACGACACTACTACTACGACTATATACTACTACTATACTACTACTACTACTACTACTACTACTAGTACTATACTACTACTATACTACTACTACTATAATAGTTTTACCACTATGACTGCTACTACTGGTACAACACAAACAGGAACAACAACAACTACTACTATACTACCACTATACTATACGACTATACTACTACTACTACTACTGTAGTACTGGGCTGCCGCACATCCAGTTTGCCAATATGTCTCCTGCCCCCGGGAAGGTATAGCTGGCACGAGTTGTGGCATCAGCTGCCTGCTTTGAAGCCTGGGGCTTCAGGGCCCTGGGACCCCGAGGTGAGGGCCAGAAGCAGTCATCTAGGGGCCCTATATAGATAACAATTACCTGTGCCATTTGGAGCGGGTTCCTTATTATCATAGATCATAAAAAAAAGCTGGAGCATCAGCTCATTGGGGCTTCAGGGTCCTGGGACCCCGAGCTGAGGGCCAGAAGCAGTCTGTAGGGGACCTATATAGATACAAATACCTGTACCATTTGGAGCGGGTTCCTTATTATCATAGATCATAACAAGAAACAGCTGGAGCCACGTTTCACCGGGAAATTGGCTTGGCACAGGGCATTCCGAGGACCACGGGTATAGCGAAAGATAATCCTACGTTTCCGGTATAGTTTGGGGATGAATCCTTTTCACATTGTATTTCATGAATATTCCAAATTAATGGTGTGACTTTCTACATATGGTTGGTGAACATAAGTATGATAAATGACCGTGTGGACTCGATGCCAGCAAGCCCAACCTCCTCGCCGTCCTTGGCTGAGCAAAACCTTTTGGTCGCATCGCGCCCGCTGTGTATGTAGTCATATATATATATATATATATATATATATATATATATAGGATAGATTGTGGGTTTATGGGTAGCGCATGTTATACATCATATAACCACATATATATATATATATGTATATATATATATATATATATATAGATATTACATACTACATAAAGCATATGTAGGATTGCCTTGTACAGTCATATATAGGAGAGATTGTGGTTTTATAGGTAGTTAATGTTATATATATATATATATATATACATATACAATGTATTACATACATGTACTATAAATAGTTCATATGTAGGACAAAAACTATGCATGATATAGCTAGGATACTTGGGGGCCCTTGTGACTTAGTAAGTCTATACTTAGTATATCCCCTATAGAAACCCCATTATAATCCCCATAACTCACCTTATTAACCCTACTTACTAAGTCAAAAGGGCCTCCAAGTATCTAGACAAGGGGGAGCGACGTTGCTTCAGGTGAATGTATAGAGGGGACTGTGTATCTTTTTATTTATATATATATATATTATCAATCTAGATTACTACTACTGCTGCTGCTGCTGCTGGTGCTATATCGCTGCGATTATACTACTATACTATACTATATGCTTCACTATGCTATGCTATGCTATCACCACCACCACCACCACCACCACCACCACCACCACCACCACCACCTATACTACTACTACTACTACTACTACTACTACTACTCCTACTACTACTACTACTACTACTACTACTACTACTACTACTACTATACTACTACGACGACTACGACTATACTACATCCTACAGTGTTGCCGCGTGAGAGTTCTTTGCATGTCAGGGGTTAGATTGCGTGCATGAGAGAGTTAAACGGGATGGGTTTTGGTGGGTCTCAGGTGTTAGGTCTTCGAATACGATGTTGCTTTTGGAAGGTCACGAGGTGCGTTCCGAGGCGCACGCAGTGCATGGTTTCATGTGGGAGGTGGCTTCGTTCTACTGTGCAACACAGCAGCACAACAGCAAACAGAAACAATCCCAACAACAACGAGATCGGGAACACAATGTGAAAGCACATTGAAAAAAAACACCCAATGTGGAAACACATTGGGGAAAAAAAAAAAGATAGCCCGGATAGGTTTCCACATTGAAATAATTCACCCAATGTGGAAACACATTGGGCGACTATCGCTCAATGTGTTTCCACATTGGGTCTAAAAAAAAAATAACAACCAACGATTTCCACATTGAAAAAATTCGCCCAATGTGGAAACACATTGGGCTGAATTTCATCAACCTAGATTGAATTGGCCGTTACACAGCCAACACGGAAGCCTCGCAGAGCCTAGAGCTCGCGGGGTCGTCTCTGCAGGCTTTGCCGCGGAGCATTGCGGATCGAACAATCGTTGTTTAGGGAGGCCTTGCCATGCAGCCAGTGACACCTCCCGGCCTTCGGAGGGCGACGCAGCGCGACGCTGCTCTGGCAGCGCTCCGACCCGTACAACGTCCCGCAGGAGCACCCATGACTCCGGAGGAGCTTTTCGAATGCACACCTCCAATTCTGGACGGTGGCATTGTGATCCTGACAATGTTCCACCGCTACATGTCACGGGATCGGCTGCGGTGCCTGAGACTTTCATTTTGTTTTGGTTATGTGTGTAGATGTTGGTTTCTATATATAGTCCTGCCCCCCCCCCCTAAACCATCCCTTATACTAAACCCATAAACCCATTATAAGTATAAACCCTTAACCATAAATAGCACAATGACTGTATGGCCTGCAGGTTGCAATTTCGGTACGCACTGAGCAACGAGCAGTGCCTGGACCTCATGGTTACGCACGCCTCAACGATCACAGTGGGCGAGATCTGTGAGCTCATTTACCGGTGCGCCCCCAGAAACATACCGGCGGATGCCGGCATCCAAGTGCTTGGAAGCCGCACCTTTAAGTGTTTGAGCCGGTCGCCGCACCGTTTCGTGTGGCGACCGGCTCGACACAGGCCAAACCAGAGGTTGTGGCCAGGAATTCCAGTGCATGGGCGACGCCGCGTGTCGCTGGCGCGACACTGCTTGAAGGTTGTGCGGCATCCCTAAGGGATCCGCATACATTTCTCCATGGTCAAAAAACACTGTCGCAGCGTGTTGGGCAGCTTTGTAGTAGTAGTAGTAGTAGTAGTAGTAGTAGTAGTAGTAGTAGTAGTAGTAGTAGTAGTAGTAGTAGTAGTAGTCTAGTAGTAGTAGTAGTAGTAGTAGTAGTAGTAGTAGTAGTAGTAGTAGTAGTAGTAGTAGTAGTAGTAGTAGTAGTAGTAGTAGATAGTAGTAGATAGTAGTAGTAGTAGTAGATAGTAGTAGATAGTAGTAGTAGTAGTAGTAGTAGTAGTAGTAGTAGTAGTAGTAGTAGTAGTAGTAGTAATAGTAGTAGTAGTAAGTTAGTAGTAGTAGTAGTAGTAGTAGTAGTAGTAGTAGTAGTAGTAGTAGTAGTAGTAGTAGTAGTAGTAGTAGTAGTAGTAGTAGTAGTAGTAGTAGTAGTAGTAGTAGTAGTAGTAGTAGTAGTAGTAGTAGTAGTAATAAGTAGTAGTAGTAGTAGTAGTAGTAGTAGTAGTAGTAGTAGTAGTAGTAGTAGTAGTAGTAGTAGTAGTAGTAGTAGTAGTAGTAGTAGTAGTAGTAGTAGTAGTAGTAGTAGTAGTACTAGTAGTATAGTAGTGGTAGTAGTAGTAGTAGTAGTAGTAGTAGTAGTAGTATAGTAGTATAGTAGTAATAAAAGTATTATAGTAGTAGTAGTAGTAGTAGTAGTAGTAGTAGTAGTAGTAGTAGTAGTAGTATAGTAGTAGTAGTAGTAGTAGTAGTAGTAGTAGTAGTAGTAGTAGTAGTAGTAGTAGTAGTAGTAGTATAGTAGTAGTATAGTATATCGTATATAGTATATAGTATATAGTATATAGTATATAGTATATAGTATATAGTATATAGTATGTATATAGTGTATATAGCAGTAGTAGTGGTATAGTGTATAGTAGTAGTATAGTATACCTGTATATACGTAGTATATATATATATATATATATATAGAGCTGTGTACCTAGTAGTAATTTTTGCTTGTTGTTGCTCCCGTTGCTGTCGGTCGGCGATTTCACTCTGCCAAACTATGCAGCGACCCCGTGCGGGCCTGCTGCATCATGCAGTGCTTTGGAAAGCAACATAGAGTCTACAAGTGGTAATATAGTACCATAGTATAGTAGTACTATAGTAGTGTCGTAGTATATAAGTATAGTATAGTACAGTAGCCGTATAGTATAGGTAGTTTTTTGTCGTGGTTTTTAAGAACACACAGGACCGCGGATGCATGCAGGGTTTCTGCTTTACAGCTTCTATATGTTCCTGACATGCGTGGAAATATTTGGCAGCATGTCTTTCCGCTGCCGGGCTGGTTGCAGAGATTTGCTGCGTGTACATTATACATCCGAAACACACACACATATATGTGTTATATATATATATATATGTGTACACACACACACAGGAACTGCCGTGACGTTGCATTGCTGAGATAGAGAGGTCGTCTGTTGTGATGTCGAAAGGTATAGCAGATGCAGGTGAAGCAACACTCCCTTCCATTCCTGATTTTCTGGCAGCAGGACATCTTTCCGCTGCCGGGCTGATTGCAGAGGTTCTCGCAACAGCACTTAAGATCTGTAGCCTAGAAGCAGCGACCATGGCCGGGAAGTTGTGGGAGATGGCCGTGCTGTCCGGACAGTGGACGTGGGGCGATGACCTGCCGAAGTCGCAGGAGTGGCTGCCTGTTTCGAAAGCGAACTCGCAGCGACTCATGGAAAACAACGCCTTCATCGTCATCCGCACGAAGGGCAAGTACAGCCGATTCCGCAAGGTCGTGGAGGACGAGGCTTCGGACCTGACCCTGTGGCAGAACTCGGGAATGGAGAAGCTTCTCTTGCGCCAAGTCAAGGACAACTTCATGTGGTGCGTCCACGCCGACCACAACCCTGAGGAGGGTCTGGTGAGGCTGCATGGAATTGTATGCTATTTACCTTTGTATATTGCTTGAATATATGGGAAGGGTCCTGGTTACAAACATGAACTTAAACCCACACAGTGTAGGTTCTCGGCTGTCTCGTGCTCCTCTGCTCGCCTGATGACGACCGTGGACTTTTGCGATCAAAAGAACATCAGCATCCGTGACTTGGAGGCATCCTTTAAGGAGAGAGCTGCGGAGGCAGACCTCATCACACGCCAGCAGCAAGTGATCCTGGTCAGTTCCGTGACGGGGGGGCTTTTGAGCCAAGTTTTGACGTTTGTGTGGGGACCAAGGGCACACGCCGCACTAAAGCCGCGGAAGCGTGTCCTCAGGAAAACGGCTGCCAACACGGTCGCACTTCAGAAGCTGTTTGAACCCGTGAACTTTTAGCGAGAGAGGTGCAGTCATGGACACAACCTGATTTGCAGACCCTCGTCGCATCTGCAGTTTTGATTTCAAAGAGCCTCGATTGTCAGCTGCTTGCAAGGACCACAAAAAAATCTCATTACGTGCATGCGACTGTGCTGGCAGAGAAGCCTCGCCAAGCACACAGAGCAGGGGTCTCAACCTCGCTCAGCAAATGTATATGTTGCGGATCGCAGCATTCCGCGGCCTAAAAGCAGGACTCTTGCGTTCCAAAGCCATGGCTGCAGTGCAATGGGAGTTTTGCCGTGGTGTCCGGCCGACCGGAGACGGCGTCTCCCTGGTGGAGCAGGCGTGGCAACCGGTCACGAACTACGAAATGATCCTTGGCCTGGACAACGGGCGGGAAGATGATGGGTTTTGGTATGAAGGGCAAGCGTGGCATTGTCTCACTGCAGACAGCTTTGAGATGCGGCTCTACCAGTCCCTCACGAACCCGGCCAACAACATCATCGTCCGGCCCAGGCGTCGCTACAACATCATCCTGGAAGTGTACGCCTCCATCATCCGAGGAACAACATGGGTAAGGTTGGGCTTTCAGCATGGCAGCCCTGTGCAGACGCATAGACATATAGAGAGATGCCTCTGCAATTCTGATTGATAGGAAGCACGTAGTTTCGTAATTCCTCTTCGTTGCTTGACTATATATATATACAGTTTCACATACATACATAAACACATGGCACACTGTGTATATATATATATATATATGTATATATATATATATACATATACACGCATACATATACGTGTATATAGAACATGCTGAAATAAGACTATATAGAACATATTTATATGTATACGTATATATATATATATATATATATATTTACATATAACATGTAGTCTCGCTTCCACGCCCTGATAAACCCATGCAGGTTTCAGGCGAGATACAAGGCGACAAACAATGTGGCTGCAGACATACGGATCCATGGGGTGGACGGCATCTCCTTTTACGAGTTGCAGTGGTACCTCCGTGACAGCATCAAGCCTCCTGAAGATGCGGCCTTGCAGATCATGAGCACAGCGCACGATGAGAGGGTTTTGTCTGTGTTTGACTGTATGCTGTATGTTCGAGGGTCATCACAGCCAAATTACAAGCCACGTTATCGCATCCTTGAGAAGACGGAGCCAGGAGAGTGCCGCCTCAGGGAGTTTTTCCTACCGGTCACGGACTAGATCGGCAACAGATGATAAATCACAAATGTATCCGTAGATCTTATACTGCCGTAAACAGGTGTATATAGTATATATACGGTTCGTGACAAAGGTCCGTGTTCTTACATAGCAATCAACATCCTTTCAACCCTTTCTAAATGTTTTCTCTGTATGGGTTTCTGCTCGGTGACCAAAGTCTTTTGAACGAAATCTGTACATATACACTTTAGAGGTGGTGCAGAACCTCTGCGACTTGCAGCTTCAGCCAAAAAATCAGATGAGATACATGTTTTACAAGCTTGCAGCCTGCATGGATGTGACTGCATTGCACGTGTTGCTTCCTGTAGACTGAAGCCTTGTGTCCTGAAAGCTGCCTGCAGGGACATTATATAGCATGCCTGAGCATGGATGTGGCGGGCCGGTTCCGATACTTGGGTATGTCTATATACGGGGGAGGTAACAAGAGACAAGGAGTAAAGCGGCGGTGCCATGGAAGATGGAGACAGGGAGTGCGCGTAAGTGTTGTGTGGGAGATGACAGCTATATAGCGGACATGCCAGTATATATATATATATATATAGCTGTCGTAGCAAGCGTGCAGCTCAAGCATGTGCACATGTCGCATTTGTATACATATAAAAGACAGACCGACGGGGGGTTCTTTGGGGAGTTCGCTCGGAATGTTCATGGATGCGATGCATGCAGTCTGTGCTGGCAGAAGATGTTCGCCTTGCACGCTGAGCAGGGGTGTATATGTGCAACCTCGCTCAAGCAATGTCAGGGTACTTTAACTCACTCACGAGTATCATGGCAGAGCTGTGGGAATTCATTGAGAACCCACAGCCATCAGGCGACGGCGTGTCGCTCATTCCCCAGGATTGGGCACCCGTGGAAAACGTCTTGCGGCCCACGGAGATTGTCTTGCTGTTGGCAGGTTTGCAGACCCGCGGGAACATCAGCGCTGTCTGGCGACTGATCAGTGCCAACCGACAGGATATGCTTGTCTACCAATCGTACATGGCTCCCTTTCCGAAGCTGGTGTTCCGGCCGCGAACAGAACGGAGCATCCTGCTCAAGGCCTATGCCTCCCTGACTCCGACAACGGTGAGGTGGCACCCATGGCATTGCAAGTTGATGTGTCATATATATTGTGTATACATATAGGGCTTGCATGCCTCAAATTGATTTACGTTTCGAGCTTATATATAGAGTTCTGTGTTATGTATTTGGGTTTCAGAGCGGGTCTGTATGTAGTCTTGTATATCTATATATAGAAATATATCTATACTTCTGCCTGCTAAGCAGCACTTCACAAGAGGTTTCAGATGAAGTACGCGACCACCGACAACGTGGCTCTCGATCTGGAGCTTCCAGTGCATGGGGGAATTTCAATGTACGACTTGCTCTCTGCCGTTCAGGATGGATTAACGCCGCCTCCGGGCGTAGGTGTTCAGCTCCTCAGTACAGCCCATGTTCAGAGGCCGCTCACAATTTTCGACTGCATGGTTTTTATGGATGAATGCCCCCCTGCCTATGTCCCAAAATACCGGACTCGGCAGAAACGGACTGCAGGCGAGTGCCGGCTCCGGGAGTTTTTTCTCCCTGTGCAGTGAGCAGTATTTATGCTGTATATATGTATATGTAACTATATATATATATATATATATATATATATTTATGTGTCTACGTAATATGTATTTTTATGTTTCTATGTAGATATATATATATATATATATGTGAATTCTGAGTATGTATGCAGTTACGTGAGCAAGTATATACATATATATTTATATATACATACACCTTCAAGTCTGATGCAACACGACGGGCCGGACACCGCATCGGAGTCCTATATCTGTGATAAATAAACGCAAACCATGCAAACTGTCTCCCTCCTATATAAAGTCTTCTCTGAAGAGGCAGCCACTGCAGTTCTTGACAAAACGAAGATGCAGCGTGCTTCTGTGTGCATTTACACGTCATGCAGGCCGTGGCCGCAGGACCAGCAAGCAGGGTTGACGAGCTCGCTTGCACATGCTTTTGTACAGTGTGATCAGTTCTCAAGTTGTGCTTCTACGCTTTCGAACGCCTCGCAGAGCCATGGCAGGGACTTTCCAGGAGCTCGAGGCTAAGATCCTGGCAGTGGGCGAGTTTTTGATGCAGCAGCAGACCGATTTGGTTGAGAAATCCTTCAAATCCGTCAAAGCCACACAACTCAAGCAAGTTTTGGAGGACATCTCTGGCTTCGTCACCCTGACCGCGGAGCAAGCGACGAGAATCGGCACCATCCTTCGCCGAGGGCCATGGGACCAAGAGGATCGAGCAATCGCTGCCGCATGCCTGTCAAATGTTCTTGCCAACACCGGTCGCAAGGGAGGTGCCGTGGTGAGGCGGGCCAACCAAGACCTCTTGAGCTTCCACAAGTTCTTGAGCAAGAACGATGCATGCGTGCTGGCCGACCCGTCGGCCAGCATGCACACAAAGGCAGATGTCGTCGCAAGCCGGATGGTCAAAATTCAGTTGTGGCTGGCGAGTGAACAAGCCTATAGCGAGGTGATCAAGACGGTTCAGGCGGCCGGCGCCGAGATGTCCAGTGCCCAGGACCAGTATGCCTTCTTACAGTTGCTGAAGAAGATGGTCCGGAGTCGGGTCAAGAAGTTGCCCAAGAACATCGAATTGCCGAACCCATTCCCTGACAAACCAGAGGACAGGTATATAGCTACATATATAAGAGATTGTACTTACATTGGGTTGTGTTGCTGTTCGGAAAGATATATCAGAGAAGCTAATATAAGGCTATATACATGCACGTACTCTATATAGCTACAAAGATCGAGGCTCTGTAGAAGCAATCCATGTGGGTATATATCTAAACATATAGACTATTTTGGAATGAAGTCTTACATATTTTGGTCTATTTTATAAGCCCTTGAATTTGGATTTCCCGTGCAACATGCAGGACCTGCCAGACCACGTGCGTGCGGAAGCCTATAACCCGGAGGATCCGGCGGTTACCATCGAGGGGTCGGTCGCGAAGGGCAGCATCATGCGCAAGAGCAGCTCAGAGCTCCGGCCCCAGGACGTCCAAGTGGCCCTTCCGAGTAAGAAACCCCGCACAAGCTTCTCCTCGAACCAGCCAAGCCAACAAGAAATGTTTGCGGGCATGGCTTCCCAATTCGCATCTTTCATGATGAACTACATGAATGGCAACCCCTCCGGCTCCAGTGGCTCGAACGCTGCCGCAGATTTGCCGGGGTTCCGGATCTTGCAGCCTCCCAAGGGGCAAGGCAAGCAAAGTCCTGGCCAGGCTACGGATTTGCAGCATGGCGCTCATGGGCAGGCGTCACAGGAGTCGTCACCCCCGCCGCAGCCGCAGCAGTCGCTTGCGACGCTGCGGCCCGAGCTGCAGTCTCCGACGCAGCAGGCCCCATCACAAGTGCAAGTGACGGATGCGAACATGGGCTTCACCCAGTTTGAGATGCCGGACACATCGCGGCCAGAGCTCGAGGAACGTGAACCTGATCGTCAGCCGCTCAGTGCGGCAGCTGCTGCTTTGGCAGTCGAGAAGGCCGTGGAGAACCGCAACGAAAAGACGAAGCCCGGCATTCTCAAAAAGCCCGCGGCCGCAGAGACTGCTGCACCGAAAGCCAAGGCGAAGGCCACGGCCAAAGTGAAGGCCAAGTCCACCCCCAAAGCGAAGGCGAAGTCCCAGTCCAAGAAGACGACTATCAACCAAGGTCCGAACAAGGGCTGGGTCGTGGAGGTACGTGAGCGCCGCGTCGGGAACAGTGCCGGGCAAACCGACACGTACTATCGCTCCCCGCACGGCGGAGTTTACCGCACCAGGGGCGAAGCCCGGAAGCACGGCTTTAAGGAGGCATGAGCAAAGGGGTGCATGCACCTTCGTGTATAATCGTGTTTTCAAGATTGCATTGCTATATACATATATAGTGAATGTGGTTGGCTTTTCCGTTGTCCTGGTTGCATATATATAGCGCTGTATATATTCTTATGCTTTTAACCACATTGGCACCCATGGAGTCCTTTAAATGTGATTGCTAGATAGTGGTTCTTAGATAGTGGTTCTTATACTATTGTTCTTGTGCTATAGTTTTATTAGTACTGTTGTGATTGTCATTGTCATGGTTGTCATGTTGATGATGATATAGTGCTATCATATTGCTACATATGGCATGTTCTTGTCATCTTTATTGATGTTGTCATTGGTATCCTTATTCTTATCTTGTTATTGTTAATTTTATTGGTTGCTAAAAGCACCTGCTCATGTCTCTATACCAAAACGTGCTCTCGCATCGAAGCTGCCTGCATGGGCTTTTTGCCCTTTGTACATGGCTCCTTGCTCATCTGCATGTCGCTGGCTCTCACGCTCATGGAGCCCATGCGTTGCTTGGGTATGTGTATACGGCCGTATTATGTCTTGCGTGTTGTATATGTATATATGTATATACAGATGTATATGTACATATACACAGACGCATCCTATATATAGGACAGTTGTTGCGTGGTTTTGCAGAGCCGATGCGATTGTAGACGTGATCTCGCGACCCAACCAGAACCTTGCAAAAAATGGGCGCCTGCACCGCCTGCACCAGTTGCATGCGACAGTTTCGGCGAGTGCTGCATGCATATGTTGCCCGTTGCAGCAGTGAACTGGACATGCAACGCTGACATCCGCAACATGCTCTGATGTGGGGCTCATGGCACAGTGTACTTTAGCAATCCTGCTGCAATCTCCGCTATGAAGTTTAAACATAAAGATCTGCTTGTAGATAGACGCCCTGCAGAGGGTTTATACAATATGACTATATTATATATTTGGCTTGGCAATTGGGTCTATATACTTCCAGTATATATATGCATTTAAGGACATCACAGACAAAGACTGTGTTATAGCTCGTTCGGTCTGCATGAAACAGCATAGCAAGTGTACTTGATTCTTTCCGTCCAGAGAGGGTGGCAGGTTGCAGACCGCCAACCCGACGTTGCAGAGATCACTCGCAGCCCGGTTTATGGAAGATGGCAGCCAGCAGAATCCTGGATGCCCATCGCAAATCCTTTGTGTCTCAGCGAGCGCTTGCTGAGATATTAGAGCTTCTGCCAAAAGAGGAGGACCAACCCGCAACATCCAGGGCCACTTTGAAACGGAAGCGAGACGAGAAGATGAACCTCGCCACCCCTTACGGCCCGTTGTGGAAGGAACTCTCAGGTTTCACCATGACTCAGGGGCCGCCACTCAAGGTGAGCTACATCGACCCACTGGCGGTGCTTTGGCATGCCTGCAATCAAGGGGGTGGCTTCCAGGAGTTCCTGCAGAACTGCGCCGCGAGAAACCCCTGCAGTCCAGCGAATCCTTGGGATATATGCCTTTATGTCGACGAAGTGTCACCGGGGAATCAACTAAAGCCATCAAATGACCGCAAACTCCAGGTGCTGTATTTTTCCCTGAAACAGTTTGGGGGCCTGGCCCTGAGCAAAGAAGACTCCTGGTTCGTGCTGACTGCAGTGCGTTCCACGGATGTCAAGCGGCTCAGCAACGGCATGACGCAGCTCATGAAGAGGTACGCGTATTGCAGGGATGGATTTGTGTTTTTGTTTGTAAAGAACATGCATGCCGTAGATATCTGTGTGTATATCGAAAAATATATATTATACGGAGGAGCATGAAAACACATGCTCAGAGACATATGGAAAGGTATATATATATATAGACAGAATATCATGGCCACAGCTATCAGGATCTTTGCCATCTTCCTCTTGGACCGGCGAGATCAGCTGCTGCACGGCGTACGTCTGCCCATGCCCAATCAACAGTACTGGATGCTTTGTTGCCGCATGGGCGGCTTGGAAATGGATAACATAATAGTATGTACGCCAAGCTCGAAACATTCAACACAAGGATGTATGTATATGTCTGAATATGTGTATATACATATGTATATATGTACTGTATACCGTATGTACGTTTCTGATTTTCCGTCATGGAACCGGGGTTTGCGTGGAATGTACAATATGTATGCGGAGGCCTCTTGATCGCGGACGAGGCAGCACTGAAAAGTGTTTGGGAAGACAAAGGAGCAAGCGGCACGAAGCTCTGCTTCATGTGCCAAAACGTTGTGTCCCATTCATCAGGCCTGCACAACACGGACGCATCAGGCAGTCTGGTGAGCCACGTCAGCCACCAGAAGAGCCAAATGGTGCAGCAGACGGACGCCAGTATAAAGGAAGCTGCGCAACACCTCACCCAGTGCCGCCCCTTGATGAACAAGGGTGAGTTTAAAAAGCGGCAATTCGCCCTGGGGTTGAACTTCTGCGAGCATGGGGCGCTCTTTTCTCCTGAGCTGAAGGAGATTTTGAGGCCTATCTCCGTGAGCATGTTTGACTACATGCACAACTATGTTGTGGGTGGAGTCTTTCATGTGGAGATGTCACAGCTCCTGGAGGCTTTGCAGAAGCAGGGCATACAGCAAGACGAGATGCCACTGGACAATTGCTTCGGAATGTAAGTGATTTCGTGGAGGGTTTGCGGAGGGTTTTTTCATTGCATCCTTCCAATATAAGAGTTACATAATAAGATTCAGAATAAAGATGTGTTTTTGTTTATAGCAGTATATTTTTGCGGTGTTCAGGCACAGCTTCCTGAGTGCTTGTCAATGGCCAGCTGCCGTTGGTGACAAAGGCGCCTCCGCGAAGAAAGTCTTCGCCAAGAAGGTGACCGAGTTCAAGTCCTCGGCGTCGGAGGCCATGGCTTTGTACCCCGTGATGCGGGCCTTCTTGCAGGAGAAGCTGCCAAGCATCCGGGACAACCAGTGCAAGGAATGTTGCCGATGCTTTTTCGTTCTATGCGAAGTCCTTGACCTCCTGTATAAAACGTCGGTACCACTGGATCCTTCGACGCTAGCTGCTGCTCTGGAACAGAAAATCGAAACGCACATGGAGCTGTTCAAGCGCTGCTACGGGGTGGAGAAGGTCATCCCCAAGGCACACTTCAACCTGCACCTGGGCGACTTGCTGCGGCGTCATGGCCTGCTACTCTCCTGCTTTGTGCATGAAAGGAGGCACAAGGAGATTAAGAGGTATGCGAATAACCTCGACTCCATGCAGGCAGGATCCGAAAGGCACATTCTCCAACTGGAATTGGAGGAGCACATGAAGAACCTCCTCGTCTTCTCCGAAATGAAAGCAGGGCTGGTCAACCCCAAGGCTGCCGCCGGCCAGGTGCAACAGGCTTTTTGCGACTACTTCTCCTTGCCAGGCAGTCCTGGACTGCTCGTAAGCATGTCCTGCCACGTCGGGAATGGCAGGCTGTGCAAGCGAGAGGACGTGGTCGTCGTCCATGGGCCCAACGGCGACGAAGTGGCTCAAGTGTGGTTCCATGTCGAGTTCAACGGACACGGCTACACGTGCATGTCCGAGTGGCGTTCTTTGGGCCGAAATCGTTTTCGAACCTGTGACGAGCCTGTGTTCCGATCAACACATGCTATCTGCAGACTGTGTGCTTTCAAGAAAGAGACTGACCGTGCACTGGTCATACCGCTGAGCATGCCCATGTGAAGATGCTGGCATGGTCTCCATTCTGCAGAGTGCCAATCTCGCAGAATGCTGTGCAGGACATTTTCGCACAGTCAGCAAACATCTCTGTAAGGGATGTTGCGAACCATATACCCTAAACCGCGCGGATCGTCCCAAAAAAGGATCGCAGTCGCCTGCGAAAACTTCGGTCAACACATGAACCTTTTATCTAAAAAACGATCCTCAAACGAATGTACCGCTGAGTCCGCATGCATTATATGCAGTTATACACAATACATATGGTGTCCTTGATTGAATTTATGATCCATAGCTATAGAAGTCTTTGCACCCGCCTCCGAACTGGCAAGCATCGTGCGAACATCGAGCCCTTTGCTGAAGTATTATCTACAGGAAGTGCATGGTTGTAGAGTGCTCGTGTCTGTGCGCGAAACTAAACCGTGTATATCTCCAACTCCCCGAATCACCTAGCATGTCAACTTCCCTGTTTTCGACCCTTTGCCCCGCGACCCCTTGTCGATGCAGGCTGCCGCCTATGTCATGCTCTTTCCGGCCACTGCCGTGCCCATGGACTCTGGGGTTTGGTGCATATATATATATATATGTATTTATTTATTAATAGCTGCTTATGTAGCACAAAGATATATCTAACGGGTGTTTGTATATATATATATATATATATATATATAGATAGATCTGTATACAGACATAAAGATAGATAGGTAGATAGGGTTTTCAGTGGAGACGTGTATCTGTATATACACACATATACATATATATATATATGAATATATATGCTCGCCATGTGTATGTATGCATGCATGTGTGTATGTATGTGTGTATGTATGTATGTATGTATGTATATATTGATATTGATATTTATATTTATAGTTATATTTGTATTTATATTTATATTCATATTTATTTTTATATTTATATTTCTTGATTTATCGGGTGTATAATTAAGTGATTGTATATATAGGGTTTTTACGAATGTACAGGGGTGGCATGTAAGGTTGAAGTGTATTGCGCTTCTAGTTGTTGAGTAAATATTGAACTTTTATGCAGGCGTACCTCTAAAGACATATACATAAGCATATATATATATATATATATATACAAACATACATTCATTCTTACGTATATAGATATGTATATATATATATATATATACATGCATACATTTAGCATACATACAAACATATATGTATATGTACATTTATACATACATATAAATGTACATACATGTATACATATATACATATATACATACATATACATCTATATCTACACATCTACATGTACATATACATACACATATACATATACATATACATATACATATACATTTACATTTACATTCACATTTACATATACATATACATATACATATACATATACATATACATATTCCTACATACACCTATACATGTGCATATTTTTACAGGTATATACGTATATACACATCAAACACATACATAAACATAACATAGTTATTATCAAAAACATGTCTATACAAAGACATTGTTTGGCATTTTGACCCTTGATTTAAACAGTGCAAACGGTCGCTAAAACACCGCATTTCAGCCTCGTTTGTCGTGCCCCGCGAACCCACTTAGCCTACTTAGCAATACGGCCCCTAACCCACTTGGCGGACTTAGGCTAAGTCCGACTGCCCACTTAGCATAAGCGCGCTAACTGAGTTAGCCCTGCGCCCCTAACTGAGTTAGCATATGGTCCCACGGACGCCTACAATAAGTCCAACAACTGAGTTAGCGGGCTTGCTTCTAAGTCCGACATAAACGCGCCAACTACTTAGTTTAATGCATAAGTACTTATAACCGCGACGATCCTCCAAGTAGCCACTATGGCCTTTTGCTTGCTGCTGGCTAGCCAGCTAGCTGCCAGCTGACAGCCTTCAAGTGAAGTTCAAAGGTTCAGGGCCCTCATTCTCACGTCGATCACGCTCGCACTCTGCAAAAGCACTTGCCCCTTCTCTTCGCATGAATTGCTCTCTTGCTTTGGCCCTGACAGCATGAGGGTACCGGCGGTGCTCGTGAATGTGCTTATGCTTGCTATCATGATTTGCACAATCATCTAACCTTTAACCAGGAGAGCAGAAATCCGAGAGGACGTCCCTGATGTTCCTGGCGGCCAGCCTTCACTGTCCGGGTCTTGCGACAATCCGAGCCGTGCAAGCGGCAGTAAGCCTGCAGAACGTTGGATACAGGGTAGTATCGTATCGAGGCACCTTGGCCTAAATCGAAAACGACCTCGGTGCCGCTCTTCTCACCACCACCGGCTCCGCCACCTCGACCATGACGAGGAGCTGCTGCATCACTCGGGGCACTGGCATCCGCTGGGCCCTTCACTGGGCGCACAGATGAGCTTGAAGCTTGGGCGCCAGAAATATCAGGAACATCATCATGCTCAAGGTCCTCTGCAGCTTCATCCAAGGGTGTTGGATCATCAGTCACGAGGCGATCCTCCAGTGTATGATCCTTGTCAGACCCACTGGCCTCATCACCAGAGGGCAGTTGCTTGGCATTTGGCCTGTCCTCGATCACAGTGTCACTGGCAGGGGCTTGAAAATCAGGATCTGCGTGGCCCAGAGCTGCTGAGCCCGATGCCGAACCTGCAGAACGGCTGGTCTGGCCAGCAGCTGCACCATGGGATGCCCGTGACCCTCCCTGTTGTCTCTGACCTCCACGGCCTCCACGGGCACGTTGGTGCCTCATGCGGGCCTCCATTTCCTCACCCAGCCAGACTTTGAGTGGTGGTAGCCCCTTATACGTTCGAACAATGACATGTGCAGGTAGCATGTCAGCAGGTGCCAAGGTTGCACCTGTGCTGTGCACGGTATAATATTGAGCAACCCAGGCTGCTTTCAGATCTTGGTTCTGCTTGACAAAATCCAGATGCAAGCAACAGCCCAAAGGATCCTGCGCATACAGATGAACACCTTCATCGTCCGAATGTGAGTAATTGAGGGGTGTGACTGTGCATTGCCACGTTCGATAATTCATGAACCCCAAGTGGAACCACAAAGACTGTTCCAGCTGATCCTCCTGTTCCTGACCGGCAGCAACCCCACCATCTGTGATAGCAGGAAGCTCGGCAGAGTGTCCTGCCCTTTTGGCTGCAAGTTGCACCCAAGGATTGTCCGCATGCCGTGTGACCCTCCCCTTGCAAGCTGAAACACGAACAACCAAGAAGCCCTGCTCTGCCAAGACACGGTGGGGTGTTTTCACTGCTTTCTTCTTGGGCTTGGGTTGGCTCGGTGCAGATCCTGCCGATGGACCTGCCGGCTGCGGACTTGCTTTCGGGGCCTCGGCTGCTGCTGCTGCTGTGGATTGCTTTCTGGCCTCACGTTTCGGCAGGAAATGCGGTTTGCACATCAAAGCAATGAACTTGCAATGGTAATGCCACACAAAGCTCTTGCAGATGCATGTGCCCTGCTCAAGGCACATGGACTTTGAAGTCTCACGAGTCTCACTGGTCTGAATCACTGCATGTTCAGAATGTCGCACAAGTCGATTAAGTGAATGCCACTCATTCATCAAGGGTGTCCACAATCCATGGCCGTACCTTTTGCGAGCCGATCCAGTCTTCTTGAAGATCTCCTGCATTGTTGCACATGAATCAAACATAAAGGAAACGAGGAATCTGAATCACCAGATGCATCCCAAAATCCCACAATTACTTATCGACAGACATGCATACTTCAAAGACACTGGTCACACTGCCTTGTTGATAATAGGACTGATAGTACTTAAATAATTACCAGGACCAACAGGACTTAATAGGACTCAGTTCCAATTCTAATGATTCTAATTCTAATGTCGGACCGAAGATCAAATCTGCTGTGTCATGTAAGTCAAAGCAAACAGCTGCCCAAAGGATGGGTTTCAATTGATTCCGACATGTAACACCTAGTGGACCTAGTTGGGTCTCAGTCTTTGTGCTCAGGTCAAATGTGAGTGACTGCTACTGCACTAGTCACAAGTCTGCGGCTAATCACGGCTAGGCGGCTAATCCGTACTCAGAGGCTACTTCCATTTGGCTGTGGTGGCTATGGCTGGGGAATGGGAGGCTGCAACTTACGCAAACGACAGAGTCCAGGAACTGCTGAACAAAATTACTGCTGAGAGTTCCCTAGAATTGTGCAAGTGCCCAACTGGCTGCACAAACCCTAAGACCTTAAGACACTTCTTTCTGTAAACAAGGATGCCAGGGTGCCGGCTAGCTACCAGCTAGCGGCTAACTGCTAACTCCGGCCAACATTGCTATCTTTAGGTTCAGATACATTACTGATCATTACCATCGTTACTGACATTACTGAGTAATCATTGCTGCCTGCATGAATCCAAGTCCAAGCTGCCTTCACCAAGAGATCTGCTGGTGCAACAAAGTACGCCACATCTGGTTGACCCAGGTGCCCCGGCAGGCAGTGATAAGATCCACTGCCCAAGGCTCCAACCAACTCAGAAGACTGACCCTGCTGACCACCGAGCAGTTGCTTATGCATCTTGCCAGCCTCCACGACATCACTTGCCATCTGTTCACGTTCTGTTGCAGCAAGTGAACTCAACACTCGAGACTCCTGCCTAAGTTGCCGCAGTTCTGCCTGCACCACATCACCTGCTGTTTCAAAAGGCACCACAGCCCTGGAGCCAAAGTCGTCCTGAAGAATGCCTGGGTTTGGGGTTGCTGCCTCCTCCAACCTTGGAAATGGCACTGCTCCCTGCTGCCCTGCAAGAGTCGCAAGCACACCGAGATGCTCCAAAAGGGACCACTCACTGTCTTTGCTGGCCTTCAACAAATGGTAGCGCAACCTCATCCTCTTGATGGTCGGGCCAACCTGCTTGAATTTGATGCCTTTCACATGTGTCCGCATGAAAGCTCTCCAAGTGCCACCGTAACCGACCTTTTGTTTGTTGTCGCTTCGAATCCGGGGCTGATGTGCAGCAGCCTCCTGTCGCTTCCGTTTCTTGCTCGTCTGATTTCTTGCACACATGCGGCCAGAAGGCATAAACGGCTCTCGCAAGCATACGATCTTCCGCAAGATAAACTCCGTGTTCAGTTGTTCCATTGACAAAGCCCAAGTCTGGACTGAGCGCAATGTTATCAAACGGCGGGTCGAAGCGTGGGCAGCCTCTATGTTCAAAATGTCAATCTGGAAGGAGTGTGCAATGGAGGAAAGTATTTGTTGGCACTCTTCCGATTGCAACTCGTTGTACGTCGGAAAATCCGAAAGAATGGCTGTGGTAAGCTCATCTTGGAGGCAGAGTGGAATGTCCTGAACCTCCAGTGCCCCCCCAGTCAATGCTTTGAACAGACCGTATGGGCAATTCCGATGGGACACAGTCAAATAGTGGTGAACAGCACAGGAACAGCGTGAAAGGAGTCGAAACATTAATGCACGCATGGCCATAGTGCAACCAGCAGAGGGCAGGAACATGTGCTCTGAATGCATCAAATGATCAACCTCTTTCCTAAACTTGGTCAAATATGATTGTTGAGCAGCTTCAGAGACTCTGTAGGATCGAGGATCATTCCTGGCAGCTGCTGTGTCCTGGCAAATGTCAAAATGCTCACTGCTCAACCAAATGAAGCCACACAGAAGGTGCAAGAGTGGCTTGGCCAGCTTCAGAATCACGTAAACCGTTGCCCCAGGATTGGCCTCAGCATACATAGCCAGTTTTCGTTTGTTGGCTTTGTTCATGGCCGCAAAATCCAAATCTCCTGTGAGCTGTTGCTGCTCTTGCTCGGCAGCAGGTTCGACTCCACGCCAGGCATGTCCAGTTGCGCAGCTGCAAACCTCATGAGTCCGATCTAGAGAATCTAAAATCTAGAATCTAGAATTAGACTGAATCCCATCCGAAATCACAGAACCCTCAGCCTGAGCCCTAAACCTCAAAACTCTAGACTCTAAACCCCCCAAAATTCCCAAACCCCAAATGTCGACATCGCCAGGATGTGGCTGCCGGGACAGAACCTGGGGACGAGTCAAGAAGACAGACCGTGTGTTGGGATCTGGGTCTCTTGAGAATGGTCTAACAAAGTCCTGCTGTCTAACTTCTTTCGGGACATAGTTGCAAGTCAGAGTCTAGTTTCAAGCTTAAGGTCGAAATGATCAGTCCCGGGAGAAAACCCCACCCACCACAAATCCTCATTGATCCTGCTGGGCCCTTGGGCTGATGCTCTCCCGAAAAACCTTTTATTGCAACACTCAAGGCTTAGGGCCTGACCAACATCACCAACAGCAGCAGCCCTCCAAGATTCGAGGCTCCACAGCTCCACCTGGAATTGGAAGCAATCTGGCAGCAGAACTTTGAGGTGGAGATCAGATGGAAGTGTGACGATGAAAAGCTTCTGCGATGCTGAATGGTGCTTTAAGTCTTAAACAACCCTTGGCATGAGGACGGATTGAATGTCAGGAACAGTCAATCATATTTTCCTGGAACTTCTACGATATCTGACGAGTTCCCTGTGCACAAACCATGGAACTAGGAACCGATGCCCAAGTTGAACACAACCTTGGTTTCTCTCATATAGTCCTGTGGCTCAGGCCTGGATTTCTGGATCCAGATTGGGGTTTAGTGCCTTCGGGTTCATAAAAAGTGGTGGTGGTGCCGTCGGTGGTGGTGGTAGTGACCGGCAGTGCCTGAGACTTGAGACCATGGTGGCAGCGGTGGTGATGGGGGGGGCGGTGGGTGGGTTGCTAGGGGAAGTGATCGCTAATTGATTCTGATAATTCTTGATGGCGGCTGTCAAAATGATTGCCCCGAGGTAGCAAAGGACCAATAATGACGATGATGGCTAGATGATGCTGATGATGGTTGATGTTTTTTTCACAATTGTACAGTTAGCGCAATTAATTATAGGTTATGGGTCCTAAGTCTGAAGTCCCACGAGGCACTGGCTCGGCCAAGCGCCCAGCACTGGTGAACCCGGTGACCTGGTCCGAGGAGACAGCTCACTTCTTAGCCCAAAGCTAGAGTAAACCTAAACTGAGTAAACCTAATCAGATCTCCCATAGAGTATACAAGATCTAAATCTACTTAGAATCTACTTGCAACCCTGAGCCCTAGCCTTACAAGCCTTACCAAGTCCTAGTGACCTCGTGGGGGGACTGCTGTTCTGCTAAGTTCACACACAGTCAGACTACTACAAAGTTTGAGACATGAGTGTTGTTTGGACAAGAGCCTCTCTTTGAAAGCCTGGCCTGACACATGACATAATTGTGTTGTTTGATTGAAGGATGATGCTGACGACCGTGGTTTGCCACCCCCCATCCACCGGCCTTCAGTGCTCATGAGCCCGCAGCCCAGCACTAGCTCCCTGTGCAGGCGGGGTCAGAGGATTGGGGTTATGGCTTATGGCTACGGCTATGGCTATGGGATGAAAACCCGGGCCCTGGGGCTGTGGCAGTACCACATGGGCTATAGGACAAGGTCATAAAAAACCCCAATATTTAGTGACTTAGTGATTTCCGAGACTTATTGACATATTGCACAGGCCTAAAACCCAATGACCCAATGAAGCACAAACTCCGAAGCCAGGGTGGAGTCCTACTGTTGTAGAGCTACACAGCTACAGAGTGATAGAGTGAGTCATAGAGCCCGTTGCCAGCACGGATTCAATGATTTGGGATTCGGGCTTACCAAGAACATGAGGCTTTTACCAAAAGAATTTTTTAGAGGTACTGGGGTTGCTAGGCTGCTAGGACCTAGAGCCTAGTGACTAGTGGCCTAGACTCCCTAGACCATTGCTAGCTAGAACTCAAACGCTGCAATCACTGTAATCAGGAGCTGCTACCGGGGGCAGCATGAATACACAGGATGCAGGTGCCACCAGAGAGGTAGCTGCTAGCAGAGCTACATCGAGCTAGATTCTGCTAGCTGCTAGATCATTCAAGTCATGGTCGGCATCAGGGATCCTCGAAAACTGTCAGAAGGGCATTGACACCTAATTATTATTGATTATTGACTAGGTTGATGTTCTTCTACAGGGATGTCGGGGGAGAATTCAATGAGTATTCCAACTGTTTCGATTCTGGGATCTCGGTCAATGTGGGTCAAGACAGAACTTACTTACTCAGCATATCGGGGTGTGTAACGGTTTGTGCTCATCTCATCATGCTCATCTTGGGCCCCGGGCACAGACCGGCTTGGCAGAGCCCGCCATCGACCTGCAGTGCATTCACAGCATTCAATGAAGTCACTACAATACGAAGGTTGCTCGTTTGGTGGGTTCGCTGCAGAATGCCCTGACGCACAACGCGTGCAGAACTCGCGACTTCAGTTTTTATAACCAGAGCCGGCGCCCCATGTCGCACTTCACATCACAGGCCACTTCACGACCTGACTTCCCGTAGACTCCGTAGACCTGGTTAGCGCCGCGAAAAACACTCGGCCCGATTGGACATAAGCTATGTCTCTGAGCAAGTGCTGGACCTCTCCGGAGTCCCCGCCCACGCTCTCTTCGCCCCATGTGACGACTGAGCCATCCTCCTTGATGGCTGCAAAAGCTGCACAGTTGCCCTGCACAGCAATGACACTCGTGAGCTGGTCTTGCACTGCACTGCTGTCGCCACCCTCCATGGGATCACCCCAAGTGACAACCGTTCCGTTCTCCAAAATGGCTGCAAAAGCATCACCGGCAGCACAGATCTCCTTCACGTTCCGCAACTGCTCTGCAACTGCGCTGCTGTCGCCACCCAAATAAGCATCACCCCAGGTGACTACAGAGCCGTCGGCGAGCAGTGCTGCAAATGCTCTTTCCGATGCTTGGATCGCACGAACCTCCTTCAGCCGATCCTGCACAGCGCTGCTGTCACCTCCATACTTTGGCTGTCCCCAGGTCAAAACGGAGCCATCAGATCGGATGGCTGCAAAGGCCCACCAGGCTGCACTGATAGAGATGGTCGTCGGCATCGAAGAAGTCATTGACAGCACCTGTTGGGGATTGCCCCAGCTGACGATAGATCCATCACCCTTAATCGCCGCAAAGGCTTCTTTGGAGCCCTGGATGCAAACCACATCCTCTTGGAGCTGATGCTGCACCGCACTGCTGTCGCCACCACAGTAAGGATAACCCCAGGTGACAACAGAGCCGTCGGACCGAATTGCTGCAAATGCCAGCTCCGTAGACTGGATTTGCTGAACATGTTGAAGCTGATCCTGCACAGCCTGGCTGTCACCACCCCCGAGCTCGCTGCCCCATGTCACGACAGTTCCGTCGCCACAGATGGCGGCAAAGGCACAATCGGAGGCCTGGATTGCCTTCACTTCGATCAGAAGATCCTGCACAGCAGTGCTGACACGACCACCACGGCCGCCCCAGGTGGCAACACTGCCGTCGGGTCGGATAACCCCAAAGGCATCCTCGGTAACCTGCGCAGAATATCCCGGAGACACTGTGCAGAACTCGGATCTGGTTGCTGCAATGCCAGTGATGGACATGGCAAAGTCTACCTGGGCCTACCTACAGCTCATTCGAGATATGTCATGTTACACCTGCATCTCTCAGAATCTCTCACGTAATCAGGAGTTCTGCTGTAACGAGCTTCAACAAGGAGCCTAAGGCCTAAGGAGCCCAAACCATCTAATCTAATCTAAGCATCCAAGATTCCAAAACTCAGGCCCCTAACTGCCCTAACTGCAAGTGCCAAATTGCAACGGTGTGTTTTTGCAATGCGGCACACACCACTCAGCACTGTCTCGGAACTGCAACTGAAACTGCAAGTCTCAGGAAGCGGCTGCCATTCACCACCAGGAGCATGTGTCCACTTCAGCACTTCAGCCTTAACCGGGATGGAAGCTCAGAACAGAAGCCAAGGCCAAGGAAAGTAAAGCACACACACACCGACACTGCACTGCACTCACTGGACAGATGGACCCTTTGAATCCCTTCTCCATCAACTAAAGTAAGTCGCGAAACCCTAGCAAACACAGGCTAAAAGCTAACAGTCAACACTAGCACGTCACTAGCAGCCACTAGCAGCTAGCACTAGCAGCAGTCACTCCCAGCACTGTCAGGCTGTAAGGAAACGGCCATCGGCCATCACATGGCCCTTCTCCGCTTGAGGCTTGAGGCTCGACCTCAGCCGGGATCAAAGTCAAAACCAAAGCAGAAGCCACCAATGGAATCAATGGAATCGATCAACCTGCGGACCTACTGAGTCACTGCACGAGCCCTCACATCTCAAACCACACTCCTACCCAGAAACACAGAGCACACACTGAGAGAATCTGAGACCACCTGCACAATGTCACAATGAAGATCGTCCAGCTGGTCACCTGCCCGAAAAGGAGAGGCTCAGGCTCAGGCTTCTCGGGGTTTCCGGCAACGAGGTCAGGTCGTCTGCCCTAACAATTGCACAATGCCCTGCACCCAAAGGCAGCCTTTAGGGCATCCGGCGGGGGTATGTATGGACTGACTAACTAATCAACTAGTCATAATCTAATCCTGACTTAATTCCTTGACTAAGTGACTAAGTCTAAGTCTAAGTTATGTCATGTCAGTCACACAAGTCTCACAGCAGCAGCAGTGAGGCTGTGGCCTCACGGGGAGATCATGATCGGCAAGCCGCAATCGAAGACGCCAGGCCTGCAGGTTCCCACGACTGATCATATGGTTGACACGCGACACGCGGGCAGAGGCAGGGCAATCAGGCCAGGCACAGAAGGGGTAGGTTGCTTTTTAACAACTAGCTAAGCT